GCGAGACAATGCCTTCGCACGGCGGCATGGTCGCGGGCCACGAGTTCGATATCCCGATCTCGCCAAAACCTTACCCTTCGCCGGTTCCTGTCGCTCACCCATCAACCCCCACTCGCGAACAACCCCGTCTTCCAGACTCTCCTCGGGGACAGTCCACGACGGCCAGACAACGCCCTGTATCAACGTCGAAACCACGGCCCCTCTCGATGCCACCACAGAGCTACGGTCCCACTCCCGACCGCGAACGGGATCGCCAGCACGACGATGCGGCCAGGCGTGAGCGCGATGCATCGACGAGTAGGACACGAAGCACGAATAGGATATTAGGAGACTACACGTTGAGCAAGACTCTTGGTGCCGGGAGCATGGGCAAGGTCAAGCTGGCACACCACAATGTTACAGGCGAGAAGGTGAGTGTATAGGCAGGTCTTGTATAAAGATGTATTGTGATACCTATCCCACCCTACAGCTTGCCGTCAAAATTCTTCCTCGAGCTTCTCCGCCTCCAAGTGGAACGATCACTAGTCCAGAGGCTGCAGCCAAGCAGGCATCGAAGGATGCCTCGAAAGAGATTCGGACGCTGCGGGAGGCCGCACTGTCGATGTTGCTCCACCACCCCTACATCTGCGGCATGCGGGAGATGATCGTCCATGCTCATCACTACTACATGGTGTTCGAGTATGTGAATGGCGGCCAGATGCTGGACTACATCATCAGCCATGGTCGACTGCGGGAACGAGTGGCTCGCAAGTTTGCGCGGCAGATCGGGAGTGCGCTGGACTATTGTCACAAGAATAGCGTCGTCCATCGGGATTTGAAGATTGAGAACATTCTCATCTCGCAGACAGGGAACATCAAGATTATCGACTTTGGGCTATCGAACTTGTACGACCCGGTGACCCATCTGTCAACATTCTGTGGCTCATTATATTTCGCTGCACCCGAATTATTGAACGCAAAGGTCTACACAGGCCCCGAGGTCGACGTGTGGAGCTTCGGAGTCGTGTTGTACGTGTTGGTGTGCGGGAAGGTGCCATTCGATGATCAGAGCATGCCCGCCTTGCATGCAAAGATCAAGCGTGGGCTGGTAGAGTACCCGGTGTGGCTCAGCGCAGGTCCGTGATATATTGTTTGGGACGTCGGGTATACTGATCTTGAGCTCGGTATAGAATGTAAACATCTCCTCACTCGCATGCTCGTCACAAACCCGACTTCGCGTGCATCACTCTCGGAAGTGCTCAGTCATCCATGGATGCTGCGGGGCTTCCGGGGGCCGCCGGATTCACATCTCGTTCACCGTGAACCACTTCGTGCGGATGAGCTGGATCGACAAGTTATCCGAGGCATGAAGGGCTTCGAGTTTGGTACTGAAGACGAAATTGAAAACCGGCTCATTGAGATTCTCGAGTCGGATGCCTATTATCGTGCCGTACAGAACTGGGAGCGGAAACGTATGATACCTAATGGACGCAACGGTAGCGGGCGTCATTGGGAGTCCCTCTCGAACTCGTCTCTCGCCATCTCACAAGACAGCACTGCGAATGGCAAAGATTCTCCATCAAAGTCCAAGAGACGGTTCTCGGGATTTGACTTTTATCGACGGAAGCTGTTCTCCGCATCATCATCACCTCCTGGTACGCCGTTTGCAGGCTCACCACCTACTTCTCAATCCCACCTTTCCAACACTTCACTCAACGATCCCAGCCAGCGCGAACCGCCAGATCCTACATATGGGTTTCACCCTCTTATCTCAATGTATTTCCTCTCTCGCGAGAAGATGGAGCGCGAGAAGGTATACGGCCCTGGTCATTTTGCAAGTTCCCAACTGTCTTTAGAGTCGACCCCTCAGGCAGATCCTGCGCCTGAGGTCCATCACCCCCAAACGAACGCGAAACAGGTATCGCAGCCTCAGGTCCGGAAGAAAGATGCGGTCCTCGCAAAGCCAGATTATAGCATGCCATTACCACGCCTGCCTGCCCCTGAGACATCGCACTATTCGGGCATGTCGTATGATGTGTCCGCGGCAAGTCCATCCCCGGTGTCTGCCACCTTTGCAGCGCAACCGCGCGCCCGGGATGCTGCGCTCGCCGTATCACAGCCGAGGACCAGCATGCCACCGATATCGGTACCGAGCACGCCCGCCAAAGCGCCTATGCCTCGCGCGCCGGCCGGTGCTACACATCGCCGTAGCCACAGCCTAAGCCAGCGACCAAGCGTCGGGCGAAGCTGGTTCGGTGGCGGAGGAGTGGAACCTGTCAATGAGAATGCGATGCTCAAAATACGCGTGGATCCGCTCGAGCCTCCTCGCTCTGCTGGCCCGGAGAGGACGTCGTATGCGGAACAGCCTGCGTCAGAGCAGCCGGAGGACGATCAACGGTCCCCGGTGCTTATGTCTGCAGGAGCGACACTTGTACGCAAGTTTGGCAGTCTTTTGGTTGGAGGCACAAGGGACGACACACGACGATCTAGCGGAAGCGGAACGATCAAGAGGGGCAACATCCTGTCTTTCACTCCACGACCATCGGCGGAAGACGGGGAAAAGGTCGTTGACGAGCATGGTGCTTTAGTAAATGAAAAGACTAGTCACGATGCGGGCACCAATGGGACCCAATCGTCTGTAGGAACGATTACACAAAGCCATAGTCAGCCCGTCGCTTCCCCGCACCGGCGAGCTGCTACCGTTCTCGATCCACAGGGACGCGCTGCACGGCATGAGCGGAGGAACAGTGCTGGTCCAGCGCTGTTCTCCAACGTAGGTGGCACGATTGGCCGCCATCGTCGGCCTTCGACCGGATACTCGACTGATCACAGACGGCCATTGACGGATAGGCTGTTTGGTCGTACGGATGAGGAAGATGAGCGTGCTGCAGAGCGGGATGAACCAGTTTCAGGCGCTATCAACGGGAATCCTGGTGGTGAATTACACAGAGATGAGGAAAGTCACGGTGAAGAGAAGGAGTTCAAGCCTGTCTACATGAAAGGCCTCTTCAGGTATGTTTTACACTAGTATTTTTCGTCACGAGTCAATGGATTGAAGTGAATTTTCAGCGTGGCCACGACGTCAACAAAACCCCCAACATTGCTGAAACAAGATATCAGACGTGTCTTGGATAGGATGCAAGTACAGTATCGGGAGACGAAAACCGGATTCGAGTGCATCCACATCCCGTCGATCGATATGTCTACTTTGCAAACACCACGTCCCCCTGAGCGCCAACACAGAAAGCGAGGATCTGCGGGTTCAAATGAGACTGATGTAACCAGGCGTTCAATTGCAAGGAAAACTTCGAAGATTTCATTTGGAGCAAAAGGCAATAAAGATAGGGATCGCGACGTCAAGGAAAAGGAGCTTCCTAGTCGACCCTCCGGCGGCACCACCCTTAGTGCAACGGCGAGTAGCGCATCATCCTCGTTCTTCCATGTTTCTTCAACTGCACATGCTACTACTGGGGAGACTCCGGATCTACCATCCACGCAACAGGAGGAACCTGGGCGACCTCAATCACCAAACAAAGGCAAGGTCTTGCCCTCTATACCCCGAGACTTCGCTCCGAGTCCCCAGCCAATGGCTCCAGCTCCTCTTCCAACGGGAGAGGTTAACCCAGACGTATTCGAGAGCATGGGTTCTAATTCTCTGGCGGTCCGATTTGAGATCAATATAGTTAAGGTGGGTCTCAGCGTCCTGTGTGCTCTACGGTCGTTCATGTAATGTGGGATTTAGGTGCCCTGGCTGCCGCTTCATGGATTGCAGTTCCGGCGTTCGGGTGGAGATGGCTGGCAATACGGTATGCTGGCACGCCGAGTTCTAACTGAGTTAAAGCTATGACATTGGCTGCTCAGTGACATTGTCTCCTCCTGGGTTCTGTGTAATGCTTTACGACTTCATCCATTTCAGATAACATCCAACTATCACTTTATAATTGAATGGCTACTCTCATTATCTGTTCTCCTCGCTTTCCGATTCTCTGGTAGACCATCGTCTCTTTGTGTCTGCTCGCTTTGCATATGCTGCTACTTATACACATACTCCTTACTTGTACCAATGCTATACCATCGGGAGTCCTTAGTCAAATGACAACCAGCGTTATCTACTTGGGTACAGGAATTGGACTGAGATATGACTGGTGTGGTTGTCTTGCAGAATCTCCAATAATTGATTGCTTGCTGTCATCAAGCGCGGGCGTCTGGGACGCCAGCCTAAGCCAGACCTTGACGACTCAGTCCGAGCTTGGCGTAAGTACGGACCACCTACCAATAGATATTCTCGTTATGTTCATCTCAATTATACAGCAAGCGCTCAGGATCAAGGCTCTTACTATTCTACATTCAATGAACATTCAAACTCTTAGCCCTAGGCTTTGCGTAGGGCCTTGTGCTGCCATAGACAAGGCATCATGTCAAATCTTGTCACCCGGAGGCAGACTTAAAAGCAGAGATCTTGAGAGGTAGAGAGGACTGTCTCTTCATAGACGTCAAATTATGTCAAAACAAAATGAGACCAGCGGCGAAATTGGGTAATGTATAGGGCAATACTAAGACGAGAGTGCAGTTTCTGGCATGCAACCGATGTCATGCAGTTGATGTGGCTTCTTGGGGACGAACATGTGCCCTCACGAGGATTTCATGGTCAGATCCACGGTGAGAGATTTGCTACATCCTCACAATCGGACAATATTTGACCAGCAAAGGAAGTTGTTCAAAGACCCTCACGAGGGCTATCCGGTGTATGTTCGTAAGACATCACATACTCCTAAAAAGTTATTGTTCTGCGCTGACAAAAAAAATCAGGAATCTATGTTATTCCGGAAGGCTCGTCCAATGCTGTTCTTCTACAATCAAATACGCTACTAATCACATTAATAGTCAGATCGGTCAGATATTGTTTTATACCATCGAAGAGTAAGGTCAGCACATCTCTATATATGCATATATCTTCCTCAATGCATAGCCCGTAACCACTTCGCAATGGCATCGAATTGCCTCCGAACTCGACTCAGCTTCTCTGATGTCAATCTGCGATTGTACCGGAAAATTGCTTCTTGCCTTTGGAGAGGCCTGCATTGAAACTTGACGACATCCTCAATTTTCGTGCTGTGGACCGAATTTTTCATTCGTGATCCTCCTTGCATTCAGAACGCTTTTACTCACCGATAATGCTAAACACATTGCTGATCTTTATCAACTTATTCTCCACTGATGAGGCAGACTGACCACAATGTCGATCATGGGCAGATGTATTTCGCCACCCAATCAGGTACTACAGAAGCTCCTGGAGGTGAATTTACTATCAAGGTCTCAGCGGAGATAGGACAAAGAGAATGAGCTGCGAGACTAAATCTGGGAGTTGTATGAACTGCGGTCAGTACGCTACAACTACACAAGAGGATGCCATGACACAATTTGTAGCCAATGTAGAGGCTGGAAGACAATTCGACGTTCGTAGTATTTCCGATAGAAGCCTTATTTGATTCTTGCCCTAGCTGGCGCATACGGTCTCTTCGGGTAATATCATACATAACACGAATGGAGTGAGTCATTCTATATTCCTCTATGCCTATATGGAGAAGCTGGTTGATTGACCATCCTAGTTTCATTCTGCTGTAGAATTCATACATACCTGTAAATTTCGTGTCATAAACAGAAAAGTCAATGTCACTGCGTTCTGATGTAACTTAAATCAATGATTAAAATCAGATTTTCCAACTTCTAGTATCGACCTACTCGCGCGAATAACCAACGTGATTGTACAACCGGCGCATACCCATTCCATGAGACACATATTACATGCAAGTGGAGGAATTCGAGGACAGGTTTGACAGTGACAATGCAGATAGCGTGGACAGGGTGGTGTAATTAAATCCTAGACAGCCTCCTTGTCTCGACATTCGCGATGAAGCGCATCAGACCAGCATAATCTTCTTGCCTCACCGCAAAGGTCACACCACTGGTATCATCACGGTCGTAACCATACCCTGTGAGAAAACTCTCATATGGCAGACGCATCTCCTCTCGATGTTCGTCGTCTTTGTCTAGGCCTCACTGAGTCCTCAACAAAAATTTGACCACCACAAGTTCAGTAAGCTTTTCGTCAAAACGATTGCACATCCCCGCCCACCTGTGGTGGGGTCGAGGAAGCGAATCTTCGTTGAAAATGGGGCACGAATCGAGTATGAGCCTACGCAGGGTCGATCCATGACGCATGATGAAGTGTTCAAGAGTACAGCGGGCGTCGAACATGAGGTTGACCAGTGTGAGCGAGCGTAGAGCGGGAAAGAGGGGTGCAGAAAAGGCGGCAGTTGCATGCCACAGTTCGCATATAAGTTGGTCACTGGCAAGAGTGAGCATGGCGAGCTGTGCTTGAGGTGAAGCGAGAAGGCTTCTCGGGACTATCAGATGTCAAAACGAATCCCATACATTGAGGGAATCGAGATGGTTTCCATGTACCGTGATGACTAGCTCTTCGAGCGATTGTGATAATTTGACGAAAGAATCGTGTTGAAACGATGAGAAGCGAAAGGGAATAAATTTGCGAGCGAAGAGGTTGCGCTCCGAGATTGCTAGCTAAAGCACTAAGGATAGAAGTTTGCTGTAAGAAATAACGGGAAAGGTCGGTGACCACAAGCCCGCCTGGCACCACCCTTTCCCATGTGATACCAGCAAAGAATGAGATATGCAGATTGTCCAGGATCGGAAATTTATGCAGCTTGGAGAACAGATCTGTTAACCTGTTCCTCGTCGCTGCCCCGTGCTCGTCTTCAAGAACTGCGCAAACATATCGTACATGTTTGCATAATATGAATGGTAAGCATACAACACACTTCGTTCGATGCTGTGTCAGTAAAAGATTGCTGATCTGGACATCGAAAGACGAGAGTTTTTTCATACTTGGCCGGATCTTCGTGATTAGATATCTGGTGGGTGTTCTCGACATTGCGGTACGTGTCGACGAAAGAAATCGTCCGAAATGCGACAGGAGTTGCGAGCGCGTGAAAAAGTTTATTCACAGTACGTAGGTTTCTTGCGTCGGATGGATTTTTGCAGGCTTCCGCAAATCCAAGCAGCAACTCTGCAGCGCAGTCGTGAATCGACATTGGCACGGTATAACGTTAGTAGTGACTTTCTGGCAAGATGAATGAGTGGGCTCGAGAGGAAAGAGCGATAGCAATTGACACGGGATATATATGTGACACTTTCCTCGCGGAGCATCACAGTAGACAAGCATCGCGATGAAGAGATAGAAGCGCGGTATCTACAATTGGAGTTCTCTTCTTACCTATTGTCGAGACACCCTCTCGTCCGCCACGCACATCATATAATTTCCTACCATCCAGCTTCATGTCCTGCAGAGTGTTTGCGTCTGCTAGCAAGGTCGAGCAGGAAGTATTTCATAAAGCTCGGCTTTCTTGTGTTGGAATGAAGAATTAGACAACACTTAGAAAGAGAAGAACTAAAGAAATCTAGTTACCATTCTTGGATGAAGCGCGTCGGTCACGTGTTCGTCACGACAGCATGAAGGCACGTTCCAATAAGCCGCCTCTGGCAATGACATGAAGCTCCTCGTATTCTAACCTTCACTCTGTTCGTTCTAATCGCACCTTCTTCTCACTATGCACGAAGACAGGGAAGATGTTAAACCAAAAATTAATATCATAATTGACTATGAAGGGCAAAGTCAGCAATCCGCTCTATGTTTCAGCGCTGTGTTACTGACGATGACATTCGACGCGCCGTCTGTGTGGCCCGTTAGCCTGTACGGTCAAAGTCAAGCCTGGAATGCAATTTCAGAAAGTATTTGATGCTGCTGAAGTATGTGACTGTCCCCTTTGTACGCGACTGTAGCTGATGACGCGTGATACCACATTCGCAGAAGCGATTCGGTAAAGAACCTGGTCAGCATAACCTACATGGGTTAAGGGACAGTTTTCTCATCCGTACATGTAGGAACATTCAAATTCATATTTGAGGGACAGCGGGTGCGCCCAGAGATGACACCAGCGGATGTACGTTTCGTACACTTGGCGCGTTTTAGTATTTATTGAAGGTTGTGCTTCGAATTCAGCTCAACATGGAGGATGGCGACGTGATTGATGCCCATTTACAACAGGTATGTCCGCACCTTTTTGCATTTGAGATCCTGCTTAAATATTCTTTTTCACCGATTTCATAGCTCGGCGGGGGACGTTCACACTTTAGTGGATAGCTTGTAGCCTGTACATACCCGATCTCATGTGTACGCTCTGTTGTGCAGTAACATTCTTGTCTTACTTATCCTTCCATTATTTGCATATGCTACGGGTCTATATGCTACCGTGGCTTGATATTATAAATACTTTAGTCTTCCACAGTGGCCGGAGTGCCGGTAGGCTGTGGTCGACGCGTTGTGACGGTGGTGCGCCGCACGCGTGAGCGCGTTGTTTGGTCGCCCAAATACTCCGGTGGCTTAGCGGCTTAGCATGTCCGCTCTTCGTCCAAACTCTAGCCACACTCCAGCTCACTGTGATATTCTGAATGTGTTCTTGACACTGATTATTCTTGTAGTCTGTTTGATAAAAGCGCAGGACAATCATTTCCTGAGTGTGGAAGACAACTTTCAATCTTCTAGGTGTTTTTGGGCCAGTGGAGCACTATACCTTCCGAGTCACGACTCACCAGTCATCCCAACCACTATTCCTAGGGCACAATACTGCTCTCACTTTTTCTGAATACTCTGCTTTAACTGATTATGACAAGTGAGGATACGTCTACTGCACTACAATATGATGACCGCCGTCATAAGCGACAGCTACGGGGATGGCTGAGCTACGCCTTCGCCAGGTGAATGCTATTCGGTTCGACCCGTTCGTCTGTCTTAGGACGGCTGTTCACGATTGCTAACATACTTCCGGTTCATTATATGCTTTTTGTGCACGATGTGAACTCGCTGTCATCCCTTCGATTGCAATAGTGAAGTGTTCGTAATCGTCTCTCTTACCCTCTTCCTTCCTATCTGTTTGGAGCAGTTCGCAAGGTATGTACTGTCGCTTCAAGTGCTTTTTGTGCGAATGGATACAGGATGCTTCTGCAAAGAATGCCTTTTACGAATCGCACTACTCAAATAGCTCGTCCTATAACGCATCTGTTTATTGATGTACATATATGCTTATGCTTAGTCGTCCGCTACTTCCCGTATTGGGTCTATGACTCGCTGTATGGTGATAAGCGAATGCTCGGATGGCCACTTGACTGGATTACACTAGTAATAATCTATCGCTGACCCATTCCTACTTGCCAGGGACAACGGTTTTTTGTTGCCTGATCGCTCAAAGCCGTGCACATCTGTTGATCCACGTGCGTTTAATCCCTCAGACGCAGAATCCGACGCGCGGTGTGTTGTAAAGCTCGGGTGGATTTGGATTGACAGTGCTAGCTTCAGGTTTGTTACAACTTCCTCTCTGCAATGAGCCTATGTCTAAAAGTCTCTTCCACTAGTTTATATGTCTACTCGATTTCCGTGGCGCTTCAAGCACTCACCGTTATCTCTATGGGCGGCATTGCAGATCATCGTAAGTCCTTCTGAAAACGTGCCCGCTGGTCTTTCTCAGTGATCGTATCTAGCTCCACATCGAAAACGGCTCCTCTTGGCTTTCGCCGCGCTGGGGTCTATCTCAGCCATGCTCTTCCTCCTGATACCATCGTCGTCGCCTGTATGGCCTTTGGTCGCACCCCTAGCCATCTGCGCCAATGTCGGCTTCGGCGCATCAATTGTAGCGCTCAACGCATACATTCCTTTCCTCGCACGCGGGACACGCGATGTTGTCATAGCCCGAAGGGTCTTAGACCAGTCTATCGATCAAGCCGAAGCATCTCGTCCGGACTTTAGGAGAACAGCTGATGTGGATGACGGGGATCTGCATTCCGCAGAAGATCCACTCCTTCCTCAAGGCGTTCCCGCAACCAGTGCGGACGTTCTCGCAGCCAAAATTGTGCATGATAACTCTGTGTCCAGCGCGACGGCGCGCATTTCGGCGCAGGGCATCGCACTCGGATATGCGGCAGGTATCGTGATGTTGCTCCTTGCATTAGTCCCAGTCCGCTCGCTTGAAGGTTCGACATTCTCGCTGCGATTGGCCATTGGGCTTAGCGGTGCATGGTGGGCTTTGTTCTCTATTCCTGCTGCGCTCTGGCTGCCCGGTGCATCAGCCATCGAGGCGGACCTTTCTCATATCAGGAGCGAAGAGGGTGAAGGCATGCTGTTTGAAAAGTGGAGTGCTAGGCGGGAAATCCTTAAGGCATGGAAGAGGTTGGGTGGTATGTTGCGGTGGCAAGAAATCCGGAAGCTAAGCAATACATTCGTCTACCTTGCTGCCTGGTTTCTGCTGTCAGATGGTCAGTATTGGCTTGTGATTACCAGTGCTGTATGTGTGCCACTCACTGGATGAATTCACCAGGATTCACTACCATCACGTCCACCGCCATTTTGTTTGGGAAGACGACCTTGCATATGTCGCCTTCGGCCTTGATTTTGATCGGTGCCTTGACGCCGTCTGCGGGTATTATGGGCTCCCTCGTATGGCCTTTGCTTCAGCAGCGCATGGGCTGGTCAAATCTACGTGTGCTCGTCATCCTCGTCATCATGGCCTCTCTGATTCCCGCATACGGCTGCCTGGGATTCCTCCCCGTATTCCGAAGTGGTGCGCGAGTGGGCGGTCTGACGACGTGGGGAGAGATGTATGCCCTTGCAGTTTATTTTGTAAGTGTACCTTCTGGCAGTTCGATCACGGCTAATCTGCGACTATTATGTTACAGGGTTCGGTCTATGGTGCGTTCCAGGGATATGCGCGAGCGTTTTACGCGGAGTTGATACCTCCAGGGGAAGAGGCACGATGGTAAGTTGGAAAATCTCAATCGATTTGCGATGTGCTCATTAGTATGCGGTAGGTATGGGTTATTCTCAATAACTGACAAGGTAAGGTATTCAGTACGGATTGTTGATGGCGTTTTGAATACTGTTCATATAGTCTAGCTCCTTCTTGGGCCCACTCATGGTTGGGCTTATCGCGGATACAACAGGAAACATTCGCTACGCGTTCTTTTTCCTCGTGGTTATGGTTTGGCTCGCGGTACCCATCCTAATGAAGGTCAATGTCGACCGTGGACGCGAGGATGCGAAGGCTTACACATACCACCTGGCACGGACGGATGATAATTAGTTGACTTATTTGTGGAGTAGCATTTCATGTTCTAGTCTATTACTACGTGGATTCTGCCGAACTATATGGCTACCCAAGATCTCCTCGACTCTGAGAACGGGCCAATGCTCGTTGGAATGACAAGGGTGATAACCCCTACACCGTGACTATGCTCAATCTTACCCTTGGCTAGCAAGTGAAATCTGTAGTTACTTCTGCCAAGTGTTCGTACTTTGTTCATGCCGCAGTGCTAAAGCCTAAAGGGCTGCATCCTGCGTGCTCAAGCGGTGTTGGCGGTGGCGCGCTCACTACTGGACAGGGGTCGTGGGAGTCGAAGATGAAACGTTTGCTTCGGCATACGGAACGGATGCATTTGTAAGTCATGGACGATATGGAAGAGAACTCACGCTGCGGCTCTCCGTCTTTCTCGAGGACGACAACGTCCTGTCCACCGCCCTTATGTCCCAGGAAGCTGTTTCCGGCGCTGCTGCCGATGAGCGGCAGCCGTTGTTGACACACGTCTACGACGAGGAAACTGCGGACCCCGTCGAAGTTGAGAAGAAGACGAATTGGTGGACCATTGGCTGGTATGCAGTCATCGCAGCCTTGTGCGCGACAACCCTGGGGCTCTTTATCAAGGGCTTCATTGATGCCGACGATGTAGATGTGCGTACGCTCTGTGCTCGTACTACGAGTACTAAGTTAGAAGGGGTATTTGCGATACAGTTCGATCTCGGTAAAGCACTCAAAAGCGCACTGGGTGGTGGCTTGAGTGGTGCCGCAGGTATGCGCTGCCCAGTCCACCTTCCATAGAGCTCTTAATTAATGTGCATTCATAGCCATGGTACTGCAAGTGCTCACGCTCATGCCACTGCGCACAGTAATGAACTATCAGTACCGCTACGGCACCACGACCACGCAGGCAATCAAGACGCTTTATGCAGATGGTGGCTGGACACGGTACTATCAGGGGCTTTCTGCCGCGCTCATCCAGGGCCCCGTCTCTCGATTCGGCGACACCGCTGCGAACGTGGGCATCCTCGCCCTCCTGCAGAGCAACTCGTTCATGAAACGCCTCCCAGCTCTCGCCAAGACTGTCTTCGCTTCAGTTGCTGCGGCGTGCTTCAGGATGATCCTCACACCGGTGGACACGGTGAAGACGACGATGCAGACGGACGGTCGTGCGGGTCTGCAGATCCTCAGAACGCGGGTGAGCATGTCCTTCATACGGCATTATGGCGCTGTTGATTGATACTCCTCGCAGATCAAGATATATGGTATTGGCAGTCTGTGGTGGGGGGCACTTGCTACGGCGGCAGCGACATTTGTTGGGCACTATCCGGTTTGTCCTTTCTGTTGACATTTCTATTACACAAAATATTGATTCATTTTAACATACCTAGTGGTTTGGCACATATAACTACCTTGACGAGACTCTACCGGAGCCATTGACTATTTTCCAGAAGCTGCTCCGCCAGGCATTTATCGGGTTCTGCGCTTCCGTCATATCCGATACTGTCTCCAACTCCCTCCGTGTGGTCAAGACATACCGCCAAGTACATGAACGCCAGGTAGGATACATGGAGGCCGCGCGAGCAGTGATTGCCTCAGACGGCTTGCGTGGACTGTTCGGTCGCGGATTAAAGACGCGCATCATAGCTAATGGTCTGCAAGGGTTGATGTTCTCTATACTTTGGAAGCTTTTCCTAGACTTGTAAGTATTCATCAACCGCATCTCCACTCAATCACTAACGTGTTGGCAGGTGGAACGACAAGACAAAGTAGATTTAGAACTCTAGCAATACCGTTCGAGTGTCAGCTTGAGACTAAACACTATTTTATGTTATCTTGTTTGGGAACTGAACATCCTGTTCCTTATTTTCACAGATGTAATGCACATTCAAATTGCGGTGTCATCGTCAGGATTTAGAGAAAGATATAGCCAAGCGCAAAGTTGCAGAAGAGAAAAGAAGATCCTGTCAGCAGACATGATCTAAATAAGGTACATACAGAAAAGACTAAATGCTTAATGAAAAAAGCATGTGTGCGACGACGGTAACATTACGACGTCAGGAGGATGAAGGATGTCCAACTGATGGTGCATATGAGGCGGCGGAGACAGCAAGCTGGGTGCGAAAGTCGGGCATTATAGAAATGTCATAGCCTTTAGGAGAATTTCCATCTAGCCGAGGAGCGTAAGTAGACTCTTGCAAGAGGTAAAATTATAGCGTACCTATTGTTACATACGGTACAACTATGATAGTATGAGGGTAAGTCTTGGACAAACCGGAAGATAGTATAAATATGAAAACACGTACGTTACAAACGTCTGTAGAGAAGAACGGTCAGTGGATAAATGATTACATACATCTTAAGAAACGCACAGTCATTGGCTCATCGGCGCTCCGCGTCTGTGCTTGACGGTATCGGCATTTCCTCTGCAGAAAATGATGAGCGATCTGGAAAATTTAGGGACCAGAGTAGAACCGACCTGCTTGCACCGGCCACATTGGAATGCATCAGTTTCTGCCTGCACCTCCTCAGCACCAAGCGCTTTAAATAGGTTTTCTTGTATAATCCTGTTATCGGCAGCCTTTCTCTCCTCGGAAGCCATTTCCTGTGGGTGCACCGATCAGATCAAATAACCAGAATCTTTTCCTCTAACTTACCTGACTCGACATCCTGCAGAATTTCTGTACTGGCAGTTCGCCGCTGATGACACTCTCACGCAGGCCGGGGTTGTTCTTATCCTTGAGATTGACGAAGAACGTGCGGATCTTACTCCTGTATTCTCCCGTCGTACCGCTGAATTCGGCTAGAACAGTACTCTCGATGCTCTTTGCGCGGGACATAATTTGTTCGCTGGCTGCGCTCGATCAGAGATAATTTTGAAGTGGTAGCAAGATAGTGAGACAGACTACTTACGAGCGCCCGAGTCTGAGGCCAGAGCGTCATATATGAGCTCGACACACTTGTCGCGAATTTTATCGCCTGTGATGTTCATTTTGATACCGTCGGTCTTCGCGGTGCGCAATTCGCCTTTCGAGCCGCCATTGGCCATCGTCATGGTAGGCGTGATAGGCGTCGACGGTGTCCCAGATGGTGTCGCGGAAGTGGCGGTTGAAGTGGAAGCAACTGAGGCCTTCCTCATCGCTACCTCGAGTCATCAGGGTGCATTCAGCATTGATGTGTGATAGACAAACTTACGAGGTACCTTGCCGTTAGGAGTAGATTTTCCAGCATTCTGCTGCTTTTCTCGCTCAACCTCCGTCTTCCACTTCTTCACGATTTCTTTTGCGAGATCGGACACCTCCTTCGCAGCATGTGAGCGTAGTTTCCCAACAGCCAGTCCTGCTTTACTCTCCTGCAAATCCCAGTAGTCAGTTGGGTTTGCATTTCAGAATCTGATGGGATGCAGATAAAGACATACCCGGAGAATAGCCTCGGTGATCTTGGCCTCTTGCTTGAGCGTCTTCAGGATATTGACAGTTTCCTGTAAAAGCCGTAGACAGGCATTATGTCAGTAAAAGTAAAGCGAAAATCGAAAATGAAAGGGGAGTAACACGGAGGTCATAGGGAATTATTACTGACCTCGGCGGTCGAGGCGCCGTGCAGGGCTTTGACAAGGGACTTCAGCTCCGTCACCGACATACGTGCGCCTGTCTACTGCTACACTAAAGTTCACAGTGCTACTGCTCCTTCCACCGTCTACAATGGACGTTAAGGATGCTCGCAAAAGCCTCTTCGACAGCGAGCACGACGGCGAGATACAAAGCTGCTGTCTCAGCTGTCGCGATTCGTCGGTAAACATGCGTCAACAGCGCGCTCAGCGTACATAAGAATGAAGTTCATTACGTTCAACCTCCTAGTCCATCTGGACTCGTAGGCGGAATGTATGTTTCTACTGTCATCTCCGTTCATGATTCTTGCTTTTTTGAATCCTCCTAACAAATAACTGTCTTCGCAAACTTGCCTTGTTTGCATATTAGCGGCTCAAGAAAGGCTCTAAAAATATTCACTTCTCTGTACTCAATTGTAGAGACTTCCTTGGTACTCCGCCTGCGTGATGTGAGTTTGTGAATTGCATCACGGCGAAAGCTCGACTTATCTAGATCGATGCGGGTCCAACCTGAACGAGCCGTCATGCGACATCGACCATGTGAAGCTGCAAGTTTTTGTCAGGCTGAATGCCCGCGCTGATATGACTCGGCCTACACAATGTCAAATAGGAACCTTTGCTCCAAGCATGGTGAGGCGGTCGTGAAAACGAGGTCGCGATGGTCAAAGTGTCTGATGGACAAGTCTTTATCGAGGTATGCGTACTGGTGATCGAGTGTGATGCACAGCCAAAGATGTCGCGACTGTCCATAGTCAGGCCCAAAATTACATGTACGTATTTGCATGCATGACTGGGGGCAGTGATTAATTTGGAATCCCGAAATGCATGAATGTGCAGCCTTGCCAAACCTGAGTTCGTACTGAGTTTGTTCTAATCTTTCGCGGGCCCAGCGATTGCTTGCGTTCGCTGTACTCAAGTCTCGTCTACTACCTCGAGAACTCCTCAGCGGGGAGGCCCAATGTAGTTCTGTGTACTGCTGTCTCTAGAATCTCGGAGGGATCGAGCAGTGATAATATAGGGCTAAATTTGGCTTCACCTGAATCACCACGGACGGCAAATCCAAATCTTAGTGCGTGCCTTTGTACTTGTAATTTTTCACTGAAATACTTACCGTCGCGGGGACCGTATGCACAAGCTACACAGTATATACTAACAACTGGGCCGTACATAGTGAGTAACCGTGTAGTTGGAAAACGTCGTACACGTCAAGGGAATTGAGTGTATACTCGTACCATTGTACAATTGGGTCTACCTGTAGTCTATTGGAAGCATAACATATATGGTCGTGGGCCAAAGAAACTGGAAACGCCTCGAACAACCTGAGTTAGGCCTGATAAAGACGGTTCGCAATAGCGTTCTAATACAACTTCAAATAGCATCCGACTACCATATAACAAAATGACCGGTAGAGGGTCAAATGCCCGCAAGTTCTGACGGGTTGAACGCCCATACTAATGCAACCCGGCCTAGAGAGAGAACCTGCGGTAGACCGTCCAGCATTACTCGCACAAAACCATCTACCCAACCAATCCCAAAACCTTGTGCAAAGCGCGGGGCGACGCAAATCGTGAATACAATATTTGGGTGAGTCACGGCAACAGCAGCGAGTAAAGTATCTGCGCCGGACCAGTCGATATCGAGACGGGGGTGATCGAGGGTGATGCTCAACCAAAGAAACCGGAGCGATTCGTGCTCAGGGCCGATTCCTCTGAGTGTTTGATGTAAGAATTCTAGGGCAGAATGCGAGGTGTCCAAAGAACTGGAGTCTTGTAACATATGAATGCGGAGTGTCTTTAGGCCAAAATTTGTCCTAATGCCAGAGAAACCTAGTAATGGATTATAATCCCTGGGAAGATGTAGCGTCAAGTCTTCCAGTGCGTCGCCCACTTTTGGGAGAAGCTCTTGATATACGAAATGCGAGTATCTCTGGGGGAATACGATAGTCAATTCTCGGGGCTGACATCCGCACGAGAGTAACCATGGGATAATTTCCTCGCCACCAATTACGGGATACCAGACCACATTCTTCACCCCCGACATATCGATATAAACGTCTCTGGCAGCGAGAGAAGAGGTAGACTCCAATGGACAAGCAATGGAGCGCAGTCTGTTCCATGTAGATAGTAACGGCGGCGGGAAACATTCTCCCAAAGATTGTGAGAAGGACCCAAGAGTGGTCCTCAATTCGCCCATATGGAAGGCGGCTAGTTGCGGACACGCAGAAAGGAGTAGCCGTATATCTCGATTGTAGTAGCGGACTTGAACCATGCGCAGTTTTTTCAAAGAGAACTTCTGATGGGCTAGAATCTCACATTCGGCGTCTGTCAGGGCGATGTTTTTGGATTGAAGCGTCAACTCATCGACAAAGGGCAGCAAAGCAAGTATTTGGATCCATGCATTATCTTTTACGTGGGCCCCTTGTAGCATAACTTGATCAACCGCGATGAGCGTTCGGACGCAATCAGCGATATACGGTGAATTCTTGAGTAGAATCCGAAAGCGATTAGAGTGGTCTGGACTTGTTAGCGATATGGCGCGAAAGATGTAGAGTCGTGCCAATGGAAGCCATTCTCTACAAACGAGGCTGCATGCAGAAAGAGCACAAGGAGATTCCCATAGGCAGCTTATTATGATCCGTAAAATATCTTCGGGTACGCGCTCGTGTGACTCGGGAAGATGGCTGAGCGGCGTGTAATGGTATTCTGGCTGGGATAGGCGAAACCTGTAGTCAGAGACCATGCGTCGATATATGCTCACGGTAATGATCTCTGCCCAAGTCTTACCTTCTCGATAACTGCAATAGCCCCTTCATGCTTGAACTAGATCCTATTGCAGCCGCTGCTAAAAAAAAGGGGGGGGGGAATGTAAAGAGGTTTCGCTGTTGTCGACGAGAGGCAGTGGTTTCATACCCAGGCTGTCAATAGATCTGGGCCGGGGCCGAGCAGAAAGACAGACTACGATCAAAGCTTACCATTATCAATCCATCCCACTTTCCACTAATCGACAACATAGCCCAACGGCAGTGCAAGTTGCAAACCCTTATGCCAACCCATGACATTGGAGACGATTGGGTGGGGCTCGCCGCATCGGCACAACAGAAAGTACTAGCTATTGCTCCCCATCAGTAGATTCAGGGTTAATGGCGACGCCACAGCTTTCGCCTCTTTTGGATTTAGCGTTCGAAAGACCAGTCAGGGATTAGCTACACAGACATCCATGATGCTGGCGAGTATGGACGATGGAATCAGCTTGGACTCCGCTATGCACATAGTTGCGTTCCAGATATAATATCAGATAAGCACAGTAAGTGTAATAGGGACTTAGATTATACAATGACTACAGTACAAATAATTGTCAATAGTGCATCCGCATCTGAGGAGGACGGTGGCGGAGACGGTCTTCACTGACATCTTTCAGTGTTCAATTCTGCCGGCAGCACGCACAGTACTTATTTCTGACTGACTGGGACGGAACTTCTTCGCTCATTCTCATCTGTACGCGTCATTGGCCCTTGATGTCAACTTCTACACTCCCGCCGCTCAATCCGCTGCTGAAAGTATGCGGGAAGCGGACGCGGGACATTTTTGCTTCGTGCCCAGATGATAGCATACAGGAGGAGCCCAAAAGGTGCGCGAGAAATGTGCCAACATCCTGTACTCATTGACAACGAACGACGTACTTTAGTGCTCGTATCCGGCTGTCCGTCAAGATAAACGATGAATACAAGGATGTACGAGAGCTTCCTGCCCAACTATTAACTCAACAAGGGTCCGTGGGTCCCGCACGGCCCAAGGAAATGCGGAAGGCCATCACAGCTGGACGTGAGTAGACGGACCTCAGTGCTATTATCTTGGTGACAAACAATGTCTTCTCCAGCTACATCTGACACAAGCCGTATGATTGCAACCATCGACAGCAAGCCCGCACCACAACCATCCACATTCACGAACGCCAACAACCTTTCAAAAGCACTCCAACTACACAAAACGACACGAACAATCAAACCAACATATCATCCGCCATGGAAGCTCATGCGTGTCATTTCTGGTCACCTGGGCTGGGTACGTAGCGTCGCAGTAGAGCCCGGAAATCAGTGGTTTGCTACGGGAGCAGGAGATAGAGTGATCAAGATCTGGGACTTGGCGTCAGGAGAGCTGAAGTTGTCATTAACCGGTCATATCTCAACAGTACGGGGGTTGGCAGTGTCTGCACGGCATCCATACCTCTTCTCGTGCGGAGAGGATAAGGTATGTGAGTCCTATGTGTCGATGGCCAATAGGCTGATATCTTTGTGTAGATGGTAAAATGTTGGGATCTTGAGGCAAACAAGGTAATTCGGCATTACCATGGACACTTGTCAGGTGTCTATTCGCTGTCACTACATCCAACACTCGATGTTCTGGTTACTTCTGGCCGAGATGCTTCTGCACGCGTGTGGGACATGCGGACGAAGGCGCAGATTCATGTATTATCGGGGCATACCGCGACGGTTGCGGATGTAAAATGCCAGGAATCAGATCCCCAGGTCATTACCGGAAGTATGGATTCGACTGTCCGGTACGTGGAACGACATTCTAGCCCTTCGTAGCCATTGACGTTTCTATGCCCAGACTATGGGACTTGGCAGCCGGTAAGACGATGGTAACGCTGACGCACCACAAGAAGTCAGTCCGAGCACTAGCCATTCATCCAACGGAATATTCGTTCGCTTCAGCGTCAGCTGGCGGGAACAACATCAAAAAATGGAAGTGTCCTGAAGGGACATTTGTGTTCAACTTCAGCGGGCACAACGCTATCATCAATACGCTGTCCGTCAACTCAGAAGGTGTTTTTTTCTCTGGAGGTGCGTGTCTATAGCCCTGTATATGGTCTTGTTACATATAGCCCCTCTAGGCGATAACGGGACATTGTCGCTTTGGGACTACAACACGGGTACTGTTTTCCAGAACTTCGAAGATATCCCACAGCCCGGCTCTCTCGATGCGGAAGCCGGTGTATTCTGTTCGACATTTGACATAACTGGCACGAGGTTGATTACTGGCGGTGCCGACAAGACTATCAAGGTACCTTTATTTTCACTGAGTGTCCCACGTTTTCATGACATTCTTGTTTTCAGATTTACGCCGAGCAATCTCAGTAGAGTTGATGTTCGTTGGTGTATTTTAGCGGTAGGACTGTTTGTGATTCAATTCTTATTTGTTGCACCTTGTCGTATAGACGAGCGCTGGATTGAGCTTTAAGGTTAAGGTTGTCGGCAGACTCGTTCATGACCGACTTAAAGTTACCATGTTCCTTGACGACGCATCCCTACCCCCATCTCTGAGACCGCTTTCGGTCGGCTTATTTCGAGATCATTATGATAGCCAAATCACGCAAGCGAAAGCAAAGGCAGCAGCATAGTTCGCGTTCGTACATATCTGACCGGCACCGACATGCGCCAGACGATGTTCAGAGGTCTCCATCACCGGATCCTGCACTTTTTATTCAAGCATATGAGGCGGATGTTGTCCGGGGGCCACAGGCAGAACCTGCGGCGGCATCGCTCGAAGTCGAGCAGTACAATGAAGGGGGTAAAGTGCGGTTTCGAGTGGGCGACGGACTGATCAAGTGGAAGGGCGCTGGTGGTAGTCACTCTCCTGATGGACTTGAACCATTTGGGTTGGGCGAAGAGCGCATACAATTAGGTCGTGCAGACGTGAAGGTGAAAGAAGCAGCTGAAGAGGAAGGCGGCGTATGGGTGGACAGGTAGGCCTCTCTTCTCGAGAGCTTGCGTGGTGCCAGAAATTATCTTGAAACATCCGTCGCGGTAACGAGGGTAAGGAACAAGTGAAAGTACAAATCGTGGAGATGATTGGAAAACAGGAATATCTTATTTCAGTTTCTCTCGATGCAGCCTAATGTACTAATTGTTGTGCTGGTTTTTAGGTACGACGCCCGTCTCTTGCTCGATGCTCTGCCCAGCGTCGGATCACAGGAAGCAATGTCTATCAATGGCTTGAGTTCCCCGGGAGGGTGGTCTGATTTGCCCTCGGATACAGAAGACACGTTCTTTTTGAATATAGAGGAGGTGGAAGACTATCGTCGCGAGAAACGCAGGAAGCTCATTGACCAAGGTCGGGAGGAACGGTTGAGGGCACTGCGAGCGGAGGCAGGAGAGGACCAGAAGGAGGACACTGCTGAGGAATGGGGAGACAGTGATGAGGAGGTGTGTCTATCATGTCATCGTGTGCTCATGGATAACCGTACTTGTATAGCCCGACGATGAGCAGAAGGAGCTAATGCGTCGGACTGCCACGCACATCCTAGCGTCTCCAAATCCCGCGCAACTCGAGATGCGTATTTTGGCGAACCATGGCGCAGACACCCGCTTTGCCTTTCTGAGGGGCCGCTGGTCACAGGCATGGAAAATGGTCAAAGGGCGCGTAGGGCTGGGTATACGGATGACGGAGGAGGCGGAAAAAGAGGCGCAGCCAGCGGGCGGTGGGTTGGGTGGTTTGGCTGGGTATGGAGACAGCGACGACGACTCTTCAAATGACGGAGATGAGAAGACTGGTGGGCCAAGTGAGAAGACCAGGACTGCGACCGAAGATACCGGACCAGACATGGATGATGAATTGAAGAAGGCGAGGCGAGCTCGGGCCAAGGAATGGGCGGAGAAACGACGCGCTATGAGGTCTGCAGACACAGATGTTGGTGCATGAGTGGCTGCGACTCGCCGAGCTCAGTCGTTACATTTAGCTTTTGTTTATTCCGTTCCCCCACTTGAAGTATATGATATCAACACAGACCTATAGCGAACGCTGTGAGACTCGCCGTCCTCATAATAGCCTTTTCAAACCGAAAACTAGTAAAGTATTCCAGTAAGTCCAATAATTGATGCCTTGTCGAACATGTGTGATTGCGTGCGCGACGCGTCGACGTCAATTAAGGACTGACACGTACGACGCGTCGTGTCCACGTGACGAGACACGTCTCATCTTGGCGCGACCGCGTATCCCAGCTGCCGAGTCGGTGGGCTCAAAGTACACCACTGGGTCCAGACTGGTGACATAACATCTGGTCCTCCATCTCTTCGCCACTGTGCTCAACTATGGATTTTCTGCATCATCAGCTAGGCCATATACAACGACAGCTTGCATTTGTTGCGGTAGAACCTATCGCCTGGAAGACTTACGTTCAAGCATTCTCATGGGCAGTATGCCTTTTTGAATCATATCTTCTGTATGCATCCTTCCTTTTCTTGCGGTCTTACAGACCAAAAATGCTCCTATTTTTATGGCCTAACCGTGATCACCGCTAGGCTGCGACAGTACCCCCTGTATTCCAAGACTAAGCCTCCACCTGCGCTCGCAGGTCATTTCACGGACGAGGTATTCGCAAAATCTCAGGCGTATGGGAAAGCCAAAGCGAAGTTCTCCCTCGTCGCCGGACTATACAAGCAAACGCTTGATTCATTACTGCTACATTTCGGCGTGTATGCGTGGGCATGGAAGGCCGGAGGACAACTGACAGGATATTTTGGATATGGGCCTGAGTATGAGGTGAGAATTTGACGTAGTCTTTGTGACGTTGTTACGAGATTCATCTAGCTACCATGACCTCTCATTCTCTGCCTCATATATTGTATATCCACGTTTACTGACGGCTAGCCTTACAGATACTACAGTCAATTACATTCGCTTTCGTATTGTTTTTCGTATCCTCTATCCCTTCCATACCACTCTCAGTCTATCAGACATTCGTTCTGGAGGAGAAACATGGTTTCAATAAGACCACTCCTGGGCTATTCATTGCGGACCTCTTGAAAGGCTGGGCGATTGGCCTTGTGATTGCACCGCCGTTCCTTTCTGCCTTCCTTTATGTCTTTAAGTGGGCTGGCGATCGTTTCGTACCATGGCTCATGGCGTTCCTGTGAGTATTTGTTTCTTAAATGACTTTCGGACACTTAATATATACTAGCCTGGCATTCCAGCTAATCATGGTTGTCATATTCCCCACGGTCATCCAGCCTCTTTTCAACAAGTTGTCTCCCCTTGCCGAGGGCGAGCTCCGCACCCGCATAGAGTCTCTCGCATCGAAGCTGAAATTTCCGCTCAAGCATCTGTACGAGATCGACGGCTCAAAGCGAAGCTCACATAGTAATGCGTACTTCTATGGTCTACCATGGGTGAGTTCTGCTCCGCTTGTCAAACTGAGTCCATCTCTCTGATTGTCCGTCCATCGCATAGAGCAAGCACATTGTAATCTTCGACACCCTCATCAAGCAAAGCAAGCCCGATGAAGTTGAGGCCGTTCTCGGTAGGTGATATGGTTTCGCTTGTACATCGGCTAACTTATATGTTATCAAGCCCACGAACTCGGACATTGGTACTACCTCCACCCTTCCAAGCTTCTCTTGGTCTCCCAGCTGCACCTGTTCTCCATCCTCGCGCTCTTCCCTGCGTTCCTCCACGCCCCTCTCGTACTCCGCGCATTTGACTTCCCCGTTGATGTCTCTACAAGCCCGCCTACCATTGTTGCCTTCCTGTTATTCCAGGTATGCTCATTTCATTCTATGGTGATTCGAGTGCTACACTAGCACTTTCTATGCATTCTAGATGATTATCTCCCCAGTCGAGGCCGTTGTCAGCATTGGAATGAATGCTGTTAGCCGCCGGTTTGAGTATCAAGCGGACCACTTCGCGTGCGAGCTGCAACACATGCTCAAAACTGAGTCCATGGCGGACATGGGCGATAGGCTCGGCCGCGCGCTTGTTACCCTGCACGTCGAGAACCTGTCTACAGTTTGGGTAGATTGGTTGTTAGTACTCCGTTGCTGCTGGTTGCGAGATTGCCATACTGACTATGTTTTCAGGTACTCTGCCTATCATCACTCTCATCCTACATTGACGGAACGGCTTAGGGCCCTAGAGGGCTACAAGGCGAGCAGTGCTTCTGCCGCTAAAAAGGAGCTGTAGATCCTGGTTGATGTCTTTGAATAATAATTTATGACTCGAGTGTTTGAAGTTCGAAGCCAAATGTGTAACACCACTCTTTTAATCACATCATAGTATCGAGAAGGGAAGGCTGATTATATATACGTCGACACGATCGCTTCTCTGAGCTCCTGCTGTCCTCGCGCCTAGATATAAAACATGCTGTCTCGCAAATCCGCATGAACGCCGTCGCCCCACAGCTCCTTCGCCTTGTTGAAGACGCGTGTCTTCTCTTCTTCGAACGCATTTACGTTTCCTCTTTTCGCCTTCTCTTTCAGCTTCTCTTTCCCTTTTCCTGACGCATCGCCCGAATTCATCAGCACACTCAGGTAGTCTCTAGCTCTGTAGCACGCGAGATCGGCATAATATGCAGCTGGCACCAAGCTGACCGCTTTCGTCGCTCGTGCGTAGAGATAGCTCGCCTGATGAGTGCCCTGTTGGAGAGTGTCTGCATCGTAATGGTAGTCGTCGTACACCACGAAATAGTGTGTCGGACGGACTTGACCCTGCAAACCTGCATGCGCCTGTCGCTCGATATAAGTCAATGTCTCTTGAAGTCGCGTGAGATGATATCTTACCTGTAGATAGTAGTCATGGTGGTATATATCAGTGATTCCCTTATCTACAATAGTCCCGGGTAGAGTGTTGCCATTTTTTGTGGCATCCTCAGAATTAGTAGGGTAGAAACGAGCGTGGTGACGTTTTCCGCAAACCACGATAGTCAATTTTGGACGATACCGTCCACTTGACAAGACCTTGGAGAATGCGTGTTCAAACTGAGGTAATTCTTCAGATATGACCAATTCATATTGACCCTGAATTAGAAAATTGTAAATCAGGGGTACTGCTGAAGAAACGGAGATCACACTTACCTCTGAAACACCATCGCGATATACGAGCAGGCGCTCGGGGAGGCAGCTGTTCTTCCTCCTATAGAGTTCCAGACGTTCGATTAACATCAACGACAAGTCCGTAACCATCTAGTGAGGGAATTTAGGTAAAAATATATTTTTTCTTTGATCTGAATCTCGACCGACCTCTTTAGATTCCTTGTTCCGGTCAGGTTTCTGTAATGACAAACTAGCGGGGTAATGGAAAAACTGGTCATCAACGCTAGCCACCACCGCCGCAATCGACGGCGAGCCCCTCACACTAGCAGGTCCTGGGTGCGTCACATCAATTCCGACCAGCATCGTCTTCATGTCGGTGAGCCATTTCATGGGAACGACATGGGTCACTCCACCCAGCTTAGTGTTGACTTTCAGAGCAACATTGGCGCAGTATTGTTCCGGCCGCGATGCCCTGCGCGCGGTGCTCAGTAGCATGCAGACTGTATGGATGCCGAGAACCATGTCGCAGAGCCTCTTGATGCCCGAGTATATGACACTATCTGGCTTCGATAGAAGCACAAGAACGAAGCTCGGCTTCTCGTCGCCGTTACCGAGGCATAAATGGGACTCGAAGGTTTCCTGAATCTGATCGATGGCGTTCTTCCGGGATCGGTCATTGTTGGAAGATAATGTCGGTGTCTTCATGATCACAGAAGGCTGCGCCGGAAAATCCATTCCCACCGCTTTGCAACTCCTAGCGAATTGGTTGAGGAACGGATTCAGCTCGGGGTCATCTGCGCCACCGAACTCGTCGCCCCCGCCATCCATGACCAACAATACCGCCCAACTCATGACGCGCGCAGGATCTTGGAAGGTGTGGCTCATCAAGTTCCAGCTTCCACCCTGAACGCTCAGGGATCCTTGGCTGTAGATAACTTGGGGAGGAGGCAGCACACGGCTAGGAATCGTGATCATGTTCGAATCTACAGTGATGCCGAATGCACCCAGGTGCCCCGCAGGTGGGTTAAATCCCAGGGCAGGAAAGCCGTTGTCGCAGATATTTATCGCATTCGTCGCGGGTGGTTTGCAGGCAAGTTTGATCATTTTTTTTGTTCCTTGACTGTCTAGCTTTCCGTAAGGATGTCCGGGGAAGATCCAACATAGCTCGGCAGGCACGAACTGTGGCTCATCTTCCTTTCCAATATCGATGACAGGGACATTATCGGGAAACGTCAGCTCAATGCCGTACTCTATGCCCGAGTGAATCAGTGCAAGAGGAAAGCGCAACGAAGAGAAGAGCGCGCACTTTGAGAAAAGTACTCTTGAACAGTCATGGATTTACCAAACTCCGAGCAGTTAATCCTCGTACGGCTCGCCGAATTGTTGCCTATGCGGAAAACTTTCTTCTTTCTTGTATATCCCAGATAGTCCATGGAGACCTTGAGATGGCCTACAAATTCCTTGGACATCCCTCCGGACGTTCGCTGCTCAAAGCATTGCAGAGCATTGGCCATGTTTCCTGGATAGTAAAAGGCACTCATGCACCCGTTGACGTTGACCACGAGCTGCTTGTACATCGGGCGGACCGACATGAAGAATCCCTTCCAAGCATCCACACCGAGAGCCAAATTTTCAGGTATGAGTCGAGGCGAATGAGGAAAAAAGTAGCGACTGCTGCCAACTGCGCAGCCGGCTTTCACAGCATGTTGCCGCATTACTAGGTCGAGCGCTGATATCATATGTTTTATTTCGCTGCTTCCTTCTTTGAGGTCGCCATCCATATACCTGCAGCCGCGGACATGTTAGTAACGTTAAGAGAACTCGTCGAAACTACGCACTCTGTTAATGTATTCATGTTTAGCTCATTAGTGAATTCAACGTGAACGAGGACAGTTTTGCCATTATCTTGGAGCTGAAACTGTAAAGGTTGATCAAGCTTGATAGCTGACACCAACCTTCCACTTCTGTCGTGGGCTACATGGGCCCTGATTCCAATAAATTTCTCGTTGGCCTCAAGCAGTCGAAAGACATGGGCTTTGCGATCTAAAAGGCACTGGCCCTTCTCACGTAGTTCGGGGTCGAAGGATATGCGATAGTCGTAATAGGCTGATTTCGTGACTTTGATGGCAAAGAAGTTGGCGCGGAGAACCTGCGGTTTGCCAGTCTCACCAAAACCTGGGCGGAGTGGCATGATGTCGCGAATTTGGAGCTTCTGAAAAGACAAAACCAGGTCCTCCGAGGTGTCTACTGTGAGATCCACAGTCGCGGGGGTGCTGGCGGAAAATATTTCAGCGGGAGGGGGTCCGAACTGCGAACCTCGTCTCCCCCTGGCATGTGGGCCTCCATCGGTGTGTCCTCTGCCCCTGTTTCCCCTTCTAGCGAATCCAGGTGGCACTACAGAGGGTATAGAACTAGACGGAGTAGATGGCTCGAAGAATTTCTGGTGGGTACGTGACCCGGCACTTTTACCACGCATACCACTACCTCTACCAATGGACCCTCCGTTGAAGCCAGAAACTGAGAATGAGGAACTAGCGAAACCAGCTCCAGTTGTACGATCAGGCGTCGGTGTCTGTTGCTGTCCTTGATGACTACCTTCGGAATGAATCAACCAACCTCCTCCTTCCCCGCTTATACTTCGCGCCGAGCTGGGCGTTGAGCCACCTCGACTGCTCCCCTCTCTTCCAGCGTTCGGACCTCTGTTCGTAGAACGGCCTCGGTTGGAATCGCAGGTGCTCATTATCTAAGCTATTCTGCGCTAAGATGTTTCAGCTATCGCAATGGTAGAAAAGATATAGGCGAATCCTGTTGCGCAGCGGGGTAGTTATGGACGGGACACATCGTTGACTGAACGAACCGTAACTTTGTTTTGAGTCATACACGTGATACGGGATTTTGAATTTCTTTCAAGCCAAGGAGATTAGTGAATCAAACATCCTAAGACAAATGTATTGCATGAAGGGAAGCAAATCGTACCAATGTTCATATACGAATATCTCAACTGTGTGCCCGCGAGCGATGCACAGGAATTCGAGACATCGCAAAACTATGCGGGATGCCGAGTGCGGGATATTCTCGAATGTGCAGGCCGGTGCCGTTTTTGGATAGGGATTGGCCATCGCAGGAGCCTGCGGTCAGGTTCTGAAGTCAATCAGGCCATATTGTGCTGCTGCTCAGAAAGCTTACAAAATATTAGACGCATACCAAATTTGAATCAGAAATGACATGCATCAAGTACGAGTCACTCGGAACAGCTCAGCGCTCAACGGTTGCGTTATAGTCGTGCTATCGGCTCGCTCTAGTCGTAGCATACGAGCACGATGATGGTGATGGTGACGATGATACTTCGATGATTTCTAAAGCAACAGAAGAAAGCTCTGAGTAAGAGTTATCAATTTTCCGCGGATGTCTCGCTCCGATTAAGCATGATTTGGACAAGCTGGAGGCTGAGCGATATACTATCTAAGATTCTGCATAAAGCTGGGAAGTTCATTAGCATGGAAACGAGCATGAAAACCATGCTCGTTTCTACCCTATTGAAACAAGTAGCTTCACTACACTCTGCAATATACTAAGATACCTTGATGGAGAGCTATCCAAGGACTGTAGAGAGACAGAAAAGTCGCAGATTTCGTGGCGAGAAACTTTTGAGAGAATTACTCTGGCCGAAGATACTTGTGCGCGGAAATTATCCACGTGACGACTCAGTCGGCCTGAGCCAAATCACAGAAGATGCAAAACATTAAATGAAAGCACTGAAGAAAATGGTTCTGATGGGATTTTCATTTATATGTAGTCAAAAATGCTTCTAATATAATCCATACACAGCGTGACATGCTTGTGTCCCGCGTAAGGCTGAACCCGATGGCAACTATCTTCACCTTCTTGTAAGACGTATTGGAGCTGAACGAATCCCGAAGCCGAGACCAACCAGGCTACCTTGTAATACCCGCTCTCTCCACTTGTCCTTCGTATCACCAGCTTCCAAGAGAGGGCTGAGGTTCCAGTCGCGCACGAGCATCGTGAGCAAACATATAGCTTCCATCATAGCGAACTTTCTGCCAAGACATGCGCGGGGCCCCCACCCAAAAAACGTAAGATCGCTTTCCGGTATACCATACCAACGTGACGGTTTGAATTGCTCCGGATCAGGAAATATTGCAGGATCATAATCTGGATCAGCAGGTGATTTCCTGACTCTACGCAATAAGATTCAGATTCATACTCACGAACACCAACCATATCGATCATGATCCTCACTCCGGGAGGAAGTACAAGTGTTCGGTCACCGTTTTGTGCAGAGAGTTTCAGTGTAATAGTTTGCGTGGTATCGCGAGTGACAATAGATCCCGCAGCTGTAAAACCAGTCAACTCAAGTTGTGTCGATTTCGAATTGCACTTACGGAACATCCTTGCGGCTTCTTCAAAACAGGCCATAACCTTATCGAGTTTTTCGAAGTCTTCAAATGCCTAGTGCATTTTTAGAGGATCAGTTATATTGCAGCGAACTAGTACTCACGGGATCTCTATTACCAGGCAGCAGCTCACGAATTTGTTCCAGTACCTTCAATTGTTCGTCCTCGTGGAGAGCGAGCAGCGCTACCGTGGCGGACATTACATGAGCTGTAGTCTCTGCGCCACATGTCATTAAAATACACTGACTGTCTCATAGGATTGACTCACCATGACCCGCAAACATGAATGCAAAAATGTCGCCAATCTAACAACAGTAGTGAGTGAATATTTGGGAGTAAACTATTTCAACAAGCGTACAAGTTCACTGTCATCTAGTCCCTTTCGGCCTTCCGCCTGACTAGCCATGACAAGTCGAGTGAAGAGGTCGTGCTCCCTTAGGTGAACCTCTTCAGTCGTTGACGACAGCTCGTCTTTGCGCGCACGAGCAAACTCATTCATGAAGTTTGAAAGCCTTAGATAAGCTTCTTCAACTTCACGTAGCCTGTCGATAGTGAGATCAGCTATAATTCTTCATCACTCTCGCTACTTACTTTTGAATCGGAAGTTTATACGCCCAACGAGGCGTGGCCAAACGTACAATGTTCCGTTCTGAAACTATAGCCAGCGCTTCACCGAAGGACATTTCGTGCGTCTCGTCTCTCATCCATGGAAAAGGGAGTCCGAAACCACAGCGTGTGATAATTCCCAGTGCAAACTAAATCAATTCGTTGGTCATCATTCCTGAATCCAAAAATGTTGTTCAACGCGCGCATACCTTTGCCATAAAAATGTTGATTGCGGGCACACAGACCTCCGTTAACTGATCCCACTTCTCTCCTTCGACCATCTCATGGTAAAGTTTCACCGTCTCACGAGCAACAAGAGCATACCTAACAGATCAACATTAGCAGACACTCAGCACAAAAGACATGGCAGAAACGAGATAGCGACGAACGTCGTGCCAGTAAATGCGGGCCCAACTATCCTGCGATGGCGCTTGTAGGCATCGTAGTTAGACGAAATGACGTTGTCACCCCAGAGCCTGACATAGCACTTTAGCATCTAAAAATCTGTGAAGACTCGAGACAATGTCGACTGACATTAACGCAGCAGTTGAGTCAGGAGCCTTCCAATAGCCGGATGGTGCACTGAGAACATGCTCTGCAACCTCATGAGAGCCGGTAATAATCAAGGGTTCGCCTGAAAGGAATGGTACAGAAGAGATGGTTCGAGAGCCATAATAACGATACACTAAGCGGCAAAATGAGTGTTCAAACTCAAACAGTGTGACCATTACTCATCTACCTGATTTCCTCCACAACCACTGCCAGTTCAGACCAGGATTGAACCAGGAAGTCGGGAGTATGGCTCCAAAAAGGGAGAAGGAGCCAAACGCGGCGCGAAAACCAGGTAGATGACCAACGGCCTAACAATCAGCAATGTAAGGTGATAGAATACATCTGAACACGACATACCTTCAATCTAGCATGATAATTCAAGGCGAGAGACGATAGAAATACAGTTGCGACTGCCAGGGAGACGGTGGACCACATAATGCCAAGCAATAGGGAACGAATTCATGGACAAGTCTATTAGAGCAATATGAGAGGGACACATACAGAGGTGGTTAGCTGCAGATTCATCTGGAACCGGCTCAGTGCAAACGCCGCGTCGCGTAGAGTCGTAGAAACTCGCGCTAAAGTCGCACTGAGTCGCGCGAGTGTCTCCGACACGTCAGGGTACGAGGCCAGCGAAATCGTACTGTTCAGTTCGGAGAGCCGAGGGGCTTCAGCTTCAGCCCTTCTTTGAGTCGCAAAGCACTAAGGCAAATTTACCCTGTGGGCCGCGCCGTATACATCGGCAATACCGTGGGCACCGATTTCAATTTGCCATTTCGTTCTCCTCAACAGCCTGCAAGGAAGGCTCTGCATCTTTGCACGTTTTCGAACGGACGCTGCGCATTCGGCGAATCTAGGCAGCCGGGCCCGTGGAGTTGATGCATGGTGACTCTTTTGTTATTTCGGCACCAGGTAGCGACCTGTTGTATTTATTGATTGGCTAGTCGGCACTTGTTGAGACGTCTTTGGACACGACTGTCATCTGGCCAAGTTGATCCTGCAGGGCTTCCGCGTTCCCAGGGTATTATCCGTGCACCGCCATCACAGCGCCTATATTTTGTTATAAGCTCTCGTTTCCCAGTCAACTTCCAAGTGTGCGCCTTGTTTGATCCCCCCATTTGCTCAGCTCGAGCCCTACATATAATCACTTTCAATCCCATTTCAACACGCGAAGTAAGACATTCTTAACCATCCATTGGCAACAGTCTAGTTTTTCCCCTTTCCCCTTTCACCTCCTACCTCTAATCTATTTCTTGTTTCCATCTTCACAGTATTAACTGATTCTACCCATGAGTGGAAATCCCCAGAGAGGCGGTCGTGGTAGAGGTGGCGGTGCTCCTCGCGGCAGAGGCGCTAGCCCTGTCGGTGGACGGGGTAGTCCTGCTGGGGGACGAGGTAGCCCTGCTGGAGGACGAGGCAGCCCTGCCGGAGGCCGCGGTGGAGGGGCCGCAGCACCGAGGATCAGTCCTGCAGTCTCCACCGCATCCTCCGGAATGGGATACGGCGCTGGTAGAGGGGGTGGCCCTTCAGGTTTTGCGCAAGGACAACCTCCCCGCGGTGAGGGTCCTCCCGGTGGGGGAGGTCGTGGGGGAGGTGGAGGCGGATACCCTCGGGGCGGCGGAGGCGGGCGTGGAGGCGGCCCCCCGCAAGTATTTGAAGGGAACCGCCCAGCAACGACTGACGCGCGGCTAGCGACCATCGAACAAGCTGTGAGCGGTTTCAAGCGTCTGCCTGTGCGCAACGAGATGCCACTTCGTCCGGGCTTTGGGACGCTGGGTCGGCCGCTGGCCCTGAGGGCAAATTTTTTTGCCGTCAAGGTCAGCAAGAAGGCCATCTATGACTACGACGTGACGATATCCCCGACGGCCCAGGTGCGCACGGATCGAAAGGCGCGAATATTCCAGATCTTGGAGCGCAACCCACTGTATGCGCCCTACGTTGGCCATATCGCACATGATCGCAGCCAGCGGCTCATCTCCGCGCAGAGATTGCCACAGCCGCTTTCAATCGAACTGCAGTACATCGAGGAAGGAGAGGACGCTCCTCAGGAGAACGCGCTGGTTTTCACTGTAGAATTCAAGTTGGTGAGGGAGCTTGACGTAGGCCAGCTGGATCAGTAAGTCTCAAATTCTCTTATATGATGACTGTTGTTCAAATATCATATTCAGATATATGAACGCGAGTCTCGATCACATGGACTCTGATATTCAGCCCCTGCTCTCAGCAATGAATCTGATATTACAACAGCATGCGTCCAATACGGGCATACGCGTTGGAAGGAATAGGTACTTCTTCCGTGGATCTACCCAGCCCTTGGTCCTCAGTCTTGGAGTGGAGGCTTGGCGTGGATTCTTTATGTCCGTGCGCCCCTTGTACAAGCAATTAGTGGTGAACGTGAACGTTTGCATGACCGCATTCTACACCCCAGGCAACCTCGCCGATGCAATGCTCGAATTCCAGCGCCAATCCTCTGGAGGTATGCCTTCCTCGTTCGCGGACAGGCTGAAAGTGGCCACAACCCACCTGGGATACATCCGGAAAAGGCCAATTTTCCAAGTCTCACGCCAAACTGCGCGCCAGATATCATTCGATTGCCCCGAACTTGGTGGAAAGGTCACCGTGGAGGATTACTTCAAGCGTAGTACGTTTTCTCGCCAGTGTTATCATGGTGATGGCACTGACTCTTCCTAGAATATGGGAAAACGCTGAGGCATGCCCACGACCTGCCGTGCGTGAATCTCGGTACCAGGCAAAAGCCGAACTTTGTCCCTGCAGAACTTTGCGAGATTTTCCCCGGGCAAGCATATCGCGGGAAACTAAGCCCCAATGAAACGGCGGCTATGATCAAATATGCATGCAATCCCCCGCATGTAAACGCCGCCGCCATTCGCGACCAAGGTCTCGTGGATTTGGGGCTGCGCGCCGACGGGGCGCATGGCGTTCTGGACGGGTTCGGCATCACCGTAGAGTCTAACATGACCGTCATCCCTGCTCGCGTTCTGCCGCCACCGAGCGTCACTTACGGACAAGGCAGTCCAAATGTCAGGGACGGGGGCTGGAATATTCTGAACGTCAAGTTTTCCAAGGGCGGGAACATGACGAACTGGGCTGTTCTGCTTGTGCAAGACGGCGGACGGAGCGAGTTTACAGGAGTGAACGACCAGGCGTTGATGCTCTTTTTACAAACGTTTGCGAACAAGTGCCGCTCGAGCGGCATGACGGTCCCGAATGTGCCGTCGAAGATCATGCAGACTCCTCCGCTACCGCGGGTCACGCAGGACCCTGGGAGGAAGAACGCTCTTGACAAGATCGAGCAGACGCTGAGGCAGAATTTTGACGGGAAACCAAAGCCGAGCTTCGTGCTCGTTCTCCTCTCTGGCGTTGACAACTTCATCTACCCAGGTATCAAGCGTCTCGGGGACGTTATCATGGGTATCCACACGGTACATATGCTCTTGAACAAGGCGCGCGGGGATGGACAGAAGCAGGACCAGTATTTTTCGAACGTCGCGTTGAAAGTCAACATGAAACTCGGAGGCATCAACCACCTGCTTGACGCGAATTCCTCCAGCTGGCTCAAGAAGATGAAGACGATGCTTGTCGGCATTGACGTGACGCACCCGGGCTTTGCCAGTGCGAAGGGGACTCCTTCCATCGCGGCGGTTGTGGCTAGCGTCGACGACAACTTTGCGCAATTCCCCGCGAGTCTGAGGCCTCAAAAGGCAGACTGGAACAAGGAAGCTAAGGAGGTATGTAGATCGATCTCGTAGTGTCTGTGTCGCTTATCTCCCCTTCTGCATGAAGATGGTTGAAGGACTTGCGGAGATGATGCTAGAACGGCTGGACGCATATCAGAAGGCGAACAAACGGCTTCCTGATCGCATAATCATCTTCCGGGATGGTGTGTCTGATGTATGTATCCGTGTCCAAGGACCTACCCTCTTCGCCTTGCTCACATTCCGTTTGCAGGGTCAGTACAAGATGGTCAATGAGGAAGAGCTCCCACGAATTCGCGACGCGTTCAGGAGAATCTCGCCGAACAAACCATACACACCCAAATTGACAATCGTCGTCTGCGGGAAGCGTCACCATGCCCGCTTCAACCCGACCAAAGACAAGGAGATGACGAAGAATGGCAATACTTATCCGGGCACGGTGCAAGATAAAGGCTTGACGGATATATATCATTTTGACTATTATCTGCAAGTACGTGCTCAATATTATGTGCCTCTCCTCTAGCTTACCCGTTGCGCCCTCCACTAGGCGCACCAAGGGCTCCAAGGCCACGTCCGCCCCACGCACTATTTTGTCGCGTATGATGACTTCCACTTCGACGCGGACACCCTACAGCAAGGAACGCACACCACAAGCTATCTCTACGCTCGCGCCACGAAGGCCGTCAGCCTCGTCCCGCCGGCCTACTACGCGGACCTTGCGTGCGAGCGCGCACGGTTCTATCTCAATACCTTGCTCAATCTGAGCGACGAACGGTCGTCGCGCGGGTCGACCCGGCTTTCTGAGGACGAAGAGAGGGAGCGTGTGTATCAGGAGGCAATGCGCCTGTGGGGCAATGGGCTTCATCCGAATCTGAGGAACAGCATGTTCTACATCTGAGGACGCAGCGTGAGAGTCCAGGATGATGCTTGTGATTCTGAACTCTGAGTGTGTAGTATGTACAATATATATGTTGTTGTATTGACGTCAATATTTTCCTGGCGAATTAAATGTAGATGGCGGTAGCCTACTGTGGCTTACGCTGAGTTCGGCTCGCTTTCCTCGACGCATCCTGCGCAGGACCTGTCCAGACGTGGGACGTCATTGATTCCTGCATCTCCCCATGAGCGTATATAGTCGCGCGTCGCATATGATCTTCCTCCGCTATTCTCGCCCCATGATCAGAGAAGACTATGCATTGACTGCCAATCGATGTTTCAAAAGCTTGCATACATGGGATTCGATAGCCAAGATCCAGACACAGGATTTGCGCACCTTTACATCGAAATTACAATACATTGTACATATATCATCATACACTATGGAATAATCCTTCTGCTACCAAATTTTACCTCTTGACACGGATCTGCTACTCCCCCTTCACCCACTCATTCACACTTCCCACGCCTGAGATTGGAGGGGAATCGGCTGTGCTACCACTTCCATCTGCAAGATCGCTATACCCATTGGCCGCATGTGCAACTTTATTCGTCAGAGTCTCGGTGCCGCCTCCTTCGACTTCAGGGAGTACACCCCACCCCTGCATGATAAAGAACAACCTAAACGACGCCCGTCAGATGAGCCGATAGCAGGGCATACGGCGAGCACGTACCACTTGACCCTGTCCAGTCGGAGGATATGGAACAACAACAGCCAGATGGCTGCACGAGAAAATTCGTCAAAAGCTAAGCAGTATTAGGCGGTAATACACGCACTGAGCTCCATGTACGTGAAGAATCCAAGGGCACCTCCGCGTGCGCCGCGCTTCACGAAGCGGAGCACGTCCACCCACAGCTTCATGTCCTTCGGCAGTGGACGCGCATTTTTGTCCATAAGGAACGTGAGAAGGATCCGCGTATCTGAGACAGAGATAAATCCATGACCGTCTACGTGTAAAAGCACGACCGACGACGTACAAATACCAATATGACTAACGAGACCGCGACGATCAGCAGGGTGCTTTTCACGTCGGAGTAAGATGACTCACAAATGTCCGCTAACACGAGAACGGACCAAACAATAAGTGTTGTAATCAAGGAGCACAGAAGATCACACTCACACAGTCCCTGGATATAAAACGATCAGTACACGCGCCATTGCAGATGTTCCCGTACTCACCGATCGCGTTGATGTACGACGAGTTGGTCATCAACACGGACCAGTCCTCCGTGGCGAAGTTCTGCAAGTATAAATTTGGTCGCTACGCACAAATTCAGCGATGTGTCCATCAGATCGAGCAAGATTTGCGCGCACATCATAACCCTCCGGGAACAAGTACTCCTCTTCCAAAAAATCGACTTTCGGCTTCTTGAAACCCGTTGCGAGAACGACAATATCTGCAGGGAACTATGCGCATATAGTCAAAACTTTAATACTCACGCGAGAGATATGCAAACGCACTTCTCTTTCATCGCCTTTGTCTCCAGGTCGACTCATCCGTCCTCGTACGGCAACTTTCACTCCTCCATGGGTAAGCCCTTGGGTGTCTCCTCGAATATACTGGCAACGCCCCACTCGGACATGATTCAAAAATTCATCATTCACAACCTAGATCCCAGCCCTCAGTCTCTGCGCCAGACAAAACCTCGCGAGACGTACCGGAGTGCCCTCAAACAACCCCAGGCGCGCAGGAGTGAGCTCCTCTAGGCCACGATAGTTCCACAGCGTGACGATCTTTTCCCACAAGAAGCTGCCAGGGCCCAGGATCCAATCGGCGTCAGTACACCCAATTTCAGAGACTAAAAAACAAACCTGAGCGGCATCTCCCGTCCGAACGGCTGGGCTGAGATTAGCGTGTCCACGATCATATTACGCGGTATAATCCACTACAGGAGATGTCAAGATAGAGATGTGATTGAGTATGGAGGAATAGTACCTTGTCATCGCGCGCGACGATGACACACCCCTGCGCACCTCGCGCAAGTGCTGTCTCGACCGCCTCAACACCACTGGCGCCGCTTCCAATTACGAGAACACGCTTCCCATCCAACGCTGCATCGTCCAGCTCAGACGAATGCAGGACGATGCCTGAGAACGTCTCCTCCTCGCCTTCCTTATGGTCCTCCTGGCTGCTCTCGCTCGTGTGATCGTCGTCACTGTTTCGGTCCACCTGCGGCTTCTCATCAGAGCGTCCCTCACCTCTTCCCTGCTTCTGACTCTCTTCCTTGCGCCGCTTAATTTCTTCTATGTCCGGCATTCCTGGAAATCTCACCCACTGAGGCTCACCGCACGTTCCCACTGTCACGATCACCGCGTCGAACACACCATCCGTGCCGCCATTTATAATCCAGCGAGCATGCCCAAGGCGAAGGGGGTCCAAGTCGCCTGTGCGCAACAAGCATAAACATATTTGTAAACAAGATGGTGCGCATATAGGAGGAACTCCCACCTTCAGACACGTTGTCGAGCTCGTCCGGGCTGGCGTGTCGCACAGATGTAACTGAGGTTCCGAGACGGGTGTGCTCCTCGAGCCCATACTCCTTCCAGATCCTACGTATTTCTTATATGCGCGATTAATTTACGAAACGTCTGGGTAAGAATACGATGCACCTCCTAGGATTTCATCTCGTTGCGGGAAGGCGCGCGACCAGAGTACGGCAGGATGGAAGCGATACAGCGTCGAGTTGAGTTGCAAGCCGGAAGTGGAATTGACATGTGCCCAAATACCACCTAGTAAATGCAACGGTCAGAACCACTTCGATAAGAGTGCATATATAGACAAAGATGCGACGGAAAGAGCTGTAAGACAAATAAGGTTAAAAAAGATCACTCTTGCTCACCAATGCGATCATCTTTCTCGTACAACACGACATCAAATCCATGCGAGGCTGCGTGTGCTGCGCTCGAGACGCCAGTAAGACCACCACCGATGACAGCGACGCGTCCACGATACTTGATGCGCCTATTTCGCGGTGGGCATGGCTAAACAAAAAGGATTGACATTGGATAAATGAGGATCAGGTGTAAAACGAAGAGGTGACGTTGAGGTGAAAATTCAAGCGGCATATATGAATTCACTCACAGGTTTGAAGAAAAAGATGATGACTGCCTGCAGATAGATGTACAGGAGGTTGAGGAGGAAAAGCGAAAAGCGAATGGGGGAGAGGAGAGTGGGGAAGTCGAGGGAGCGTGCAGCGGCGAGGGAGTTGTGCAAGAAGGAGGAGACAGTGTCGCGTTCGATGGCGAGGGCAGACATGCTGTAGATGGTTGAGACTCTGCGTTGCAATGGGAGACTCGGAGGGATAACGGAAGCCGCGAGCGGTGATGTCATGGCTCGCGTGACGTCATGAACGCGTCGACGCCGTGCGGCATTTCCCGCGCTGCTCATCGCTGCAGCTGCAGCCCCTGCGCCCGTAACGTCGTGCAGCCAGCGGCGACGACGATGGAGGACCCTGCACACGAGCTCGAGGCCGTCGTCCTGACACTCACCACCGCAGTCAACGCCGAGATCCAGAAGGCCGCCATCCTCCGGTATGTCCCGCTCCCTCCCTCCCAGACTCCCCGTGACCCGCCCCCTCAGCTACTTCGCCCCCGACGCCTCCTTCCGCCACCCTTGCTGCACAGTCCCCCCCTCATCGACCCCATCGTCCCACCCAACCTCACCCACGTACCCGCCCTTCTCCCGTCTCCTCGCCCCCTTCTCCACCCCCGCCGCAGCCGACTCGCGCGAGACAATCCTCAGCATCTACCAGTGGTATCGCGTCCTCTCCCCCCGTCTCATCGTCCACGTTAAAAACGTCTGCTGGGATCCTGCGCGCGAGGAGGCCTGGGTCGAGGTCGTGCAAGCGTTCCACATATGGACCAGCCCCCTGCCTGCCGCCGAGGCTCGGTACGCCATTCTTCTCCGTTTATACGCATATATGCGCTTACCTACAGCCCCATCTGTAGTCTCTTCACGCATCTCCAGCTTCGCCGCATGCCCTCCCCACCTCCCGCCCAAGAAGGCGACTCGGACGCACTCTCGTCCGACCCGCGTCCGCTTTTCGTGATCGCCTCGCAGGAGGATTTCTACCACCCCGAGGACCTCATGGCACTCCTAGTCCCCCCGCTCGTCCCGCTCGTACACATCCTCCTCCTCCTCGGCACATGGGCCAGCCTTCTCGGCGCGTGGTTCTTTGGTAGCGTCCTCGGTGAGTAGCGCATGTCATTCGTCATTTTCCCTGACCGCTGTCTCACCCCGGGCTGTTTGCATCTCTACATAGGCTGGTGGGCCGTTAAGTCGGGCGAAGGGGGCCGTGGGGTTACATTGGACCCAGCGGGAGAGGCACTCCCGCCCCAAAATGTCGACGAGTTGAATACACTGGCAAACGGCGATAAGGCATATCAAGACTCGCGTGCAAGTGAAGAGGAGGAAGAGAGGGTAGATCGCAAGAAAAGGGACTAGAGCGCGAAAAGAGGCAAGCGAGTATGAAGACAGCTGTAGTTTAGTCAGGGCCTGAGTCTCTATATGTCATGAAGACACTCATGTGTGTTCTGCAAGACTTGCGACATTGCCAGTCAGATTGAGCACGTGTACATGCAGGCGCTGAAGCACTACTAGCTGACATGGCGCGGCATCATCAAGCCGGTAATATTCTTCTACAGTGTGCCAAGCTAAGCAGCGAACAAGGAGGACGGAATTGAGTTGAGGACGAGGAGGATAATCTGATATTAACCATGGGCATTCTAGTAATGGACATGCGGAATAAACGAGGTCATGAGGGTGCCTGAGCTAAATAGTTCATGATATGCAAATCATACGCATGATGCTGAAGGTAGTATATGCTACATGGTCAGATACGGATATTCGAAGTCTGCAAGAGCGAAAGGTGAAGGAAGTATCTACTCTGCTCACAGGAGCTACTGGCTACACGTGCTATAAAGAGCAGCGCGAGCGTGGCCGTTACTGCACGCATACATAAGTCTCCTAGACTGGCGACCTTCCGGCCGGCGGATGGAAGGATAGGATCGGGACTAACGCGCAATATTCTTTTACATAAAGCAACTTCGAAGCGAGCGTCGGGAGATTATTTGATTTTGAAAACTGACAAACAAGGGTCGCTGGGACGCAACGATTGATCCAGGAAGCCGGGGGCAGTAGCGCGTCATACGGTTGGGACCCTGCCAGCGCCGGGCTGCAGACGCATGCGACAATGGTCTTTGATATGACGCCTGAGCGAATCCGGGCGCCCGACTACGACTTGACATTGCGAGCACTTCTTTCGGAGGCTCTTGAGGTGCTTCGCCGCAACGTGCTTCGCAAGCCCCGCAGTGTCGAGCTCTGCGTTGCACACGGCGCCGTCGATCCACAAACATTGGCTACGGTGATGTTTGGAATTGCGAACGACCTTGGGAACAGCGTGGTATTGATTGAGGTGGTGCTGCACACCCGCGACGGTGGTATCAGTAAGTTGCATGTGGCATCCCTGCCAGAGACACATGCTCTCTGCAGGGGGGACAGAGGTGGTGCGCGGAAGCACCGGTTCCCAATTGGCGGGAAATTGACCGAATCTAGCGGTGGCGTCGGACGTGCGTGGCAGCGGTAGCTCTGTAACGCCCCGTTGCAGTATAGCGAAATCTGGTTCCGTGCCGACATTGTCACCAAGACTCGCGGCTGATCCTCGGTTCCGCCAGGGTGCAGGGTATGCCTCGTTATCCGATGTACGCCCTGAAAAACCTGCCGACGGCATTGAGTCGTACAGTCGTCCTGTCAAGCTGCATAAGGGTCAGATTATATTGCTCATGGTATTTTCAGCGAATTTCACGTACGCGCTTCCACTAGCAATATGCGCGCGCGGAAGCATGGAAAATTCGGGCCTAAGTGCCCGAGGACTGCCAATGGAGCCGAGCCTCATTAGAATGGCTCGGTGCAGTGGCGGACGCCGACTTACCTGGATGTCGAGAAGGTAGTCTCGTTTCCAAGACTGATGTCGCAAAATCTACCGTGCCGATGTGAGTTCGGATTGAGAGACATGTCAGGGTTGCTAAATTGCAGACAGTCATTCAGTGGTTTAGAACTGAAGAAAATCGTGTCAATGGGAAGTAAAAGTAAAACGCAGAATACTCACACTGCCTTTCTCTCCCTCATTTCGACCGCAGCTGTACCGACATAGCTACTGTGCGCGGCTAATGGCGCGTATGGTGGCATAAAATATCCTGGTGTTCGAGGCTGCCATCCTTCGTCGTACCGAGGCGGGAATGAGGGCCGCAGCGATAGATATGTTTCCGGGGAAATACGTTGCGGATGCATTACCGGTGAATGGAGAATCTGTGATATGGTTGGGGAGTCCGGTTTCCCTCGGTTGCGGTGAAAGTAGCTGAGCTGAAGACTTTGGGCTGTTCTGGCACGCTCTTCATTTATACGATGCTAGGTCCCCAGCACGCATAGGCACCACGATTGATTTACCACTGAATCGCGGCCCATAAAATCCTCCTCGACTGGCCTTCGGACCAAATTGTAATTAACATTAATTGACCATTCTCGAGGTCATGGTGGAACTCGTCTACGTGGGTTCCATCCATTGACAAATTTCTGGATCCTGGTGTGTGGGTAGGTATGGGTTGCCGATTATAGGTTATATAATAGTCTTTTCGGGTCCCAGCAGAGCACAGGACGAATCTGCTGTTTAAAATTGGGCCCAGTACCACGGGAAGCCGGAGGACACCGGAACAACGACCGCCTTGTTGCGCAGAAGCACATATAGGCCACTGTACAGTGACGATGTCTGTCCACACGGGTGAGTAGTATTGATACGCCGTGCCTCAGGCCTAACATCTGGGATCTCTCCCGTAGTCCGAGGATCCTTAGTAATTGGCGCCCTGCTATTCGACCACAGAGGCAAACCGACATCATCTACACAGATACACGTTGTTCATTGGCTCACGATCTACATAGTGCAAGGGAGAGTAGCACAAACGCATGAAGCGGCTCGTCACGCATTCGGATGTGCAACGGAAGTGCACCATCAATATCCCCGCTCCGGCTCACCTGGAATACAGAAGAATCTGGGCAAGTTGCAGAGTTGGCCTAAGCGGCGAGAGCCTTCATGTTTGCTTCCGTGATTCTCGTCTTCCCCGCCTGCGCTCATTCACCGGCTGCATTGCACAATCTTATGCTCCGCGTTGTCCGTACTTATTTCTGGTCATGCCTGTTGTTCCAGCATCGGAGAGAAGAACGTCATTGAAGATGTTCTGTTAGAAAGTGTCCAAACCCATTCAAAAGTGCTTGCCGGACCAATCAGCAAGAATACCACCTGAGGTACCGAGCCGAGCTCGTTAAGTGCAGGCACTCACAGGAATACCGCTTTTGCCACTCTACCCTTCTCGATGACTCGATAACGCCAACACTATCCGTGCCCTGCGCGTATCTTGGCGCACGGATGCCCGCTCATTTGTCGAGAATCAACCGTGTGGGCGCCAACCTCCCGTGAATCTTCGACTTTTGGCGCGTGGTTAGGTGTGGTATTTCTAGCTACAGAATGGCCTTGCTGGGTCCCAGCAGCTCCGACATGTTCTCGGAGCTCAGTGTCTCACCAGAGTAGCTCATAGTCGAGAGAATCCGAGCGTCTTGGTTTTTGGAGAGTCATTAACATGGTACAAGATGTGATACGCTTATCGTCACGGTTGCTTTGCAGCAAACCCGCCCCATAGGCCGCGGTCGCCAAGCCACGCGCAAAGCGTCGTCTGGAACAGTGTAATCACTACTGCCCCCGTAGTCTCGGGCTCGCAGACTCTGAAGCCTGCTAGTGAAGAATTTTAAACATTATCATTGAGAGCTGCAAAACATCAAATACTGAAAATCACCTGAAATGAGCCTCAGGTGAAACACGCTCGACGTGACTTGAGCCCTCTGAACTGGAGGGAAGTGTGGGTCTCATCGATATGGGTGCGCGTAGCTGCCACTGGCACCGCCTCACCAATTCAAACCACTGGACACACAAGTCTTATTTCGCGCTCCGGCTGGCCGCGGAGGCAAATGTTTCGGACGCCCATGCAGCCTTACAGGTGGCGTTGTGCTGACAGCCTCATGGAATGCTTCAGCCTGTCCTAGGATCGTTCAAGTTGCTGAGAACCGTCCTGGCACTCGTGAGCCCATTTCATCTCTGGTACGCGCCAAAACGCCAACGACAAGTGACTGGCGGACCAATCCAAAATTCCACGCCCGTGCCAAAAAACTGTCGCACTAGTAAGTCAACTAGCCCACGGCTGCAGCAAAGGGTTCAATTCCAAACTCTTTCTGGACTGCTTACCGCATCAATGTGCGAGCCTAACGCCTGCCAGTGGAGATACTTACCCGAGCTCGCCAAACGCGCACTTGTACATAGAGTCACCAACACCAAGCCCTACTATGCACCTGAAACCGAGTCCGTTGTTACGCATATATATCATATACCGGCATCAGGAATCATGAATTGATACAACTGATCGTAATACGTGCAGGCAATTCTTGCCTCTCCGGGAGCTTCGGAAAAGGGACGTTGGCCTTCAACACGAGAGCTGTCCCCACTTGATCCAGGACAATATGTGAGTCTTTGAAGATAATGAGACGTCAAGGGAACGTGTGTCTGAGGAGCTTCCCCAAAGAGGTGCGCATCCATCCTTGAACCATCCTTGCACTCGATGTTCTGCTTGTATTAATATACTATGCCATTGGAGTAAGGTTCCTCACGAGGTTTGAATGTCAGTAGATTCTTGGTACGGACGTCCTCGATGTCCTCGATGTCAGCCGCATATCATTCCGCGCGGGAACTAGTAGATCCAGGACAACGCAGCGTCGACATGTCGTCGACGTGGTATTGATTCGAACAAATCTAACTTTCATGTTGTTAATCCACATCTATGGTCAAACATCTGATTGCACATACAAGAACGACAAGGCGATAATATTGCACTCGGAAATCCTCACCTCTCGCCTCTCCGTTCGTCGACAACAGCATCTACCCACTTAAGCACCAAAGTCTCCAGCATATCCTCCCACTCGTTCTCCTGGCGTGCGACAAGGGGCGCATCAAATATAATCGGCTCCTCGTTCGTGCTTGGAAATCGAATGGGGAAGGAAGGCGAAGGGACAGGTGTTGTGCTATCGGAGGGTGTGATATTACCTTTAGATGAGCTCGTCTTCGCCGGAGAAGATACGGGCAGCGAATAGCGCAACTTCAGTGCCCTAATAGAATGATGGGGGCAGTACTAATTAGCAGCGCGTTTCATAGCGAATTCTAACATCACTTACGCTGCCCAAAGGCGCAAGTTGTCCGTTCGCCTGAAGGTCCAGCCTCGCTTGCCCCTCTCTGCATTCTGCGTGTCCCCCGCCGACTGCGCCTCTAGCGTAGCAATATCATGGATTGCGTCTTTGCTCACAAACCCCCATGGCTTGCGTGAGCGACGTACACCAACGTTGTACGCCACACAGAGCAGTTGTCCTGACGAGAGTGCCTGGAGAATACTGGCGCGATTTGGCGGAGGGGATGGAAGTAGAGGTAAAAGGTTAGCAGGGAGAAGTGCAACTAGCAGTGCATGTAAACGACCTGCGTGGCTTGTGATTCAATGAACATGCGCTTGTACACTTGGGTAACATCCACTCACCCAAAGAATCATCCCTAAATGTTGACCGTTTCGCCCAATCTGGGAGCTCTTCATCGTCGACACTGTCCTCTTCTGCCACCGAATCCATCTCCTCCGGCTCCTCCGTAACCACCATATCTCGCATAGCATCCAACATGCCTGTCGATACCACCCTCCGATTCGACCGGCTCATTTGCGTCTCTCCCTGATCATGAACATCGCCAGCACTAACTCTCCGCCCCTTCACTCGCTCCGCGCGATCTCTCCGCGCCGCCCGCTCTCGCTCCTTCTCCCAGCCCCGACGTCCGTTTTGTACCCCTCCAAAAAGCACCTCATCCACGATATCCAAATACCGCCCAACAACTTCCCGCTCTTGACGAAGATCCGACATCTCCATATCCTGGCGATAGAGCCAACCCCCGCCAACGACGAGCCGCTCGTCCCACCGATCCCGTTTCCCCCGCTCCTCCTCGCTCAAATTGTTCATGTCGTACGATAACTCGTCCTCCCACACAGGGATCGGCTTCTGCTGCCCGCTCACCTCCACGAATGAGATCGAGAACGACGTGTCACCCTCCAGATCGTCGTCGACATCCAGATGCGACGAGGGCGACGCCCCGCGCGAGTGCGCGCTGTTCTCCGGCGACGACGTGCTATGCTCACTCTGTGCGTCGTACGCGTCATGCTCCAGCGGCAATCGTGCCCGTTCTTCCAGCTCCCGGAGCACCGTCAGCACCTCCAGCGCGCCGCGGCGGATGCGCGCCAGTGGCTCCGAAGCCGAGTCTGGCTGGGAGACTCGCCGCCGCGGTGGGGGCGCGCTCGGCAGGCTCTGCGGGCGGAAGTACGTTTGCAGCATGGGGGTCGCCGAGTCGTCGGGGAGCGATACGAGGTAGTTGCGCACCGAGCGCACCGCGCGCGTCGTTGTCTTCAGCAGCCCGAGCACGTCGAATTGCTCCTTTGTCTTTGCGACCACCCCCGTCCCGAGGAGGTTCGGGTCCTGCTCCTGCTCCTGCTCCCGCTCTTCCTCGCGGAGACTGCCATCGAGGTCCCAGCCTGCCGCGACGGTGCTGAGGTCATCGATCACCCCAGGCCGGAGATTTTCTGGATCGGTCTCATACGTCTTCACGAACGGTGGAAAGGCCGGCTGCACGATCTGCGGGACAATAGGCGACGGAGGCAGCAGAAAATCGCGCGTCTTGTGCGAGGGTGGTCTGATGGTCAACGTCGACGGACCACCTATTGCGGGGACCATCCCACTGTTCGGCTTGTTCAGAGGACTTTACGTGCGACCACACATGCAAATATAGGTCATTTCATATAGCATCAGATAGCAGGCATATCGTACTCACTTGCTTTCCGCTGCAATACCGGTCTTTGTGAAGTAATGCTGCAAATGCTCTATGCTCCCGAGAGCCATGACACTCTCCCGCTTCGCCGCGCTGCGACTGAATGGCTTCTGAGGCTTGCTGGAGGACTTGGTGTTGGGGTAGAAGGCGACCTGCCGCCGAGATTTGTGAGACCCTGCGCCATCAGCGGTCGAATCTGAGGCTGAGGCCGCATCGGAGGGGAATTTGAACGAATCTGATATTTCCGAGGTATCCATCGTGCAAGGTATCTATGTGGAACAGCGTGAGGTCAGTAGAAATGTAGAGGTAGCGTCTAGGGTGTGATTAAGTCGAGATCATAGTTCAGTTTCAAGGAAGTCATGGTACAAATGAAGTTTGTATGTCCGAACCATCGTCAGACTTCGGTCGCCAAGCACAGGTACGACGCTTGATATATCGAAAATTAGACGAGATTGGACAACAGAACCACAGCCACGGAGAGTATACAGTACACACGAAGTCGCATTGAAAGAGTGAAGGGGTCAATTTTATTGGCAGTATTATAAGTAGATAAGTAATCGGCGTATACGAAAGCAGGTCAATGCGGGGTAACGTGCATAAGACATAGCTACTGTCATGTAGGGGAGCCCAACATGCTCACATCATCGACCTCGCAATCTGACTCATCTGGTTAGCCATCTCTGGGAATCTGGTCATGAATTCGACCTGCGCCTTCGTCGCCTGTACCGGATCGTTAAAAGCTGAAAATCCGATATACAAGCTAGCACTTACAAACTGATAGGTCAGGGCGTTCATGAGCTCGGGCTCACTGCGTGCCAGCGAAGCCTGTTTCTCAAACATCTCCATGGCTACGTCAATCTTGCCCTGCTGAAGACTCAACTGCGCCAATGTTGCCACTGCCGCCTCGCACTCGGGATCAATTTTCAACGCTTCCTGGCAGCAGTGTTCTGCAGCACCAATATCTTGCTTCCATTGATAGAGGGCAAGCCCTTTGTTTACCTGTGGTAGGGCGTTCACTGGTGGAGGCCTGCGGAAGTAGGTTAGCACAAGCCGACCAACAGCATTGCCGTCACTCACTTCGGGCGTGAAAGCTCAATCTCGATGGCACGATCAAACTTGTCCACTGCATCCTCGAACCTTTGCTGATCTAATAACAATTCACCGTAGTAGTTCTGTGGTTCGCTTCGTTGCGGGAAACCTTTTAGTGTCCTGCGGAACGTAGCCATGCTGTTCGCCAAGTTTCCAGACTTGTATTGCGCTACCGCCAACTGGATATGACTGAAAACAAATTGATCGTCGAGCTCTGTCGATTTTGTGTAGTTTTCCGCCGCGTCAGCGAACTCGTTCATGATGAACAAGACTATATCGATTCAAGATCAGTATATATATCAAATGCTGCTGCAAGACGTTCACCTTGTCCACGGTGGTAGTAAATGTCCGGGTCGTCGGCATTGTGCTTGATAGCCTCCTCGAAACATTCGAAAGCCTTTTTGGGGTCGCCCTGCTCCATGTACACGCTGGCAATTTTTACCCAAGTCTGAGTAAGTGAGGGCTGCAGCTCAATAGAGGCAAGGAAGTCTTCCTTCGCGCCAGTGACATCAGTCATGAGGAACCTGTCGAGAATCATGAGTATACTCAAACTATTGACCAACACTGACTCACTTATACGTTCCGCGCAAATTGAGAGCTTCCGCTTTACCAGCATCCCACGAAATTCCCTGCTCAACGGCCTCATTGACAAGTGTAAGCGAGTGAGTGTAATCACTGGCCGCGAGCGCTTCGAGAGATAAAATAAGGGTATGGTCGCCCTGCGATGGGTTCTCTGGAAGTTGTGGCAATGGTCCTGAAACAAACTCGTATGAGAAGGATGCGCAGGATGTACATATCAAAGCTTACGTGGGCGGAATGCTCCGAAATATGCGGAGACAAATGTTTGGGATGGGAGATGGCGATCGCGAGACTGTGGCTGATAAGATTGGCTTATGATAGATGATAGACATATCACGTACTGAAAGGATCTCTTGTACTTTCTGTGATGCCAGTTTCTTCAAGACGCGCTCCGTCGATTGGGCAGCTGACTCGTTCTGGAACTTATCGAGGATCGTCGCCGCGGTGAAGTCTAAATGACTGTTAATTCTATGTTTCCCGGACAATGTTGTGGAAATACCTCGCAATGCTTCCTCGACCCGCTCAAGAGCCTCCAAGGCAGTCGCTCGCCGATTCAATGCCTTAACATAGCTAGCATCGAGCTTCAATGCTTCGTCACAGTCCTCGATCACCTTCTCATATTGAGGGGGAGACATATTAACATAACCTATCAAAGCCGTCAGCCCTTGCCTAACCACTGTCAGCGACGATACCAACATGCTGCGCGATTGCTGAAGAACACTGGTTCAGGTTTTGGTGTAACTTCAATTGCCCGGGTATAGAGGTCGGCGGCGATGCTGTACTTGCGCTGCTGGTAGGCACCGTTTCCCTTTGCCTTAAGTGATGCAGCAACCTTCGTACGTTCCTGCAACGGCATAAGCACATGGGAATAATAATTGTCAGAGCACTCACCTCGTCCGGCATTTGAACGATTTCCTCTGCCGACAATTTGACATCCTCTGCAAAAAAATCATTACTCGCCCGCGACAGGAGTTAGAACATTGAAGCTCACCTGCCTCGGCCACGTCAGCGACTCTTGGCGAACGCTCCTCAAGAATGGGGCCATCAGCATCCTTCACAGTCTTGCGCTTTTTGGAGGACTTGCTACCCTTCTTTTTATCCTTCTTGTATTCGCCCTTTTCGGCATCGCCGCCGCCAGGACCGCGAGAGGTCGACGCATAGTATGCGACACCACCAATAGCTACGACCGCGGCAGCTGCGCCAATGAGAACAGCACGCTTATTCTCAGAGACAAACGACTGGACGCGCTCGACGACGCCCTGCGACGTGGAGGAAGACATGACGGATGCGGGCGGCCTGACGTGCCGTGCTATGGATTTTAGCAGTAGTGGGCGTGAGAAAGGAGCTCGCACAATGCAGGTGACCCTCCAAATCGCGGTCCCTCAAGGATCCGCTTGTCGTAGAGTGAGACGGTAAGGTCGGCGGCGGCGGCGAACTCGCAAACGTGTACAACAAGGCGGAAGCTTTCAGCTCACAGCTTCGTCAGAGCCGGTTTCCGGTTAGTGAGGTAGAAGTCACGTGAAATATACCGAACCGAACCGGGTCGTCTGTCGAATGTTCTCTCTCAGTGAGATCTCTTGGCCAAAAACTCGAAGTGTTGCAATATGTCCGGGCCCACTTCCTTTTCATCCTCCGGAGAAGACGTCATTGCACGAAGTATTGAGTTGAATGAAGACGATATCACTACTCTATCTCAAGACGAACTTGATGACTACTACGAGATTAACCGCACCGTAGATCAAATCGTGCAAGGAGACTATGCCCGAGTTTGTTATCAACTGCTTTCGTCCTCGTGCAACATCTTACCATATTTTCGTCTCAGATTGCACTTCAGTTTCCTGACGAGCTGTTGCATGATTCAGTCCCAATCTTTCGTGCATTAAAATCGAAGATTGGAAGTGGACGGGAGCTTTATGTGCTCGCAGATACATCTTATGGCAGGCAGGCTTTTGCTCCTGTTTTCTGGGATCACAGTCTAATACCCGTCACTCTACCGTATGTGCAGCTGCTGTGTGGATGAAGTCGCCGCGCAGCACGTTGATGCAGATGCAGTCGTACACTACGGTCATGCGTGTATGAGTCAGTGCGTAGATTTTGTACATTCATGGTAATATACTGATCTGCGCATTCGTACGCAGAACATCGCGTCTGCCGGTAATATATATTTTTGGAAAACGGGATGTGGATCCTGCAGATTGTGCCAAGCAATTGTTGAATTCTCTCAAAACATCGTCAATGGGCCTAGAGTCTCGGAGTATCCTGTTCCGGCACGATGTTGCATACAGTCACCAAGCAGGTCACTTTTTTGGCTATGTGGCGATTTAATCGATTACTAACGTACACCAGATGCCATTCTAATGCAGCTACGAGATCTGCTGCCACCTTCAGCACATATATTTCATTCTTCTCCAACAGTGTTCATGCGTCCTCGAGATAAAAATGTGTGTCAGGCTACGTCAGATGCTTTAACTGAGAATAGCCAGCCTACCAGTGCGCCGAGTGGTGATCCGGGATCAATGAAGGATTATGCTGTGATATATATCGGCGGCGAAAGTTTAACCTTGACAAACCTCCTCGTCACACATTCATTCTATGAGGTGCATATCTATTTGGGCATTTGTTCCGAGTTACCTTTAAAAGCTTTTTCAGGTTCATGCATATGACCCAAGAACAAGAGTTGCTCGCCTAGAATCAGCCCGTACTAACAAGCTGCTTATGCGACGGTATTCTACGATGCAGAAAGCCAGAGATGCTGATGTTTTTGGCATCCTAATCGGGACGTTGGGCGTCGGTGAGCCGCAGATTGATTTACCTGCAATAATAGCAGTAATTCAATGAATGGAAACAGCATCATATTTGCCACTGATCTCGCATTTACGCAAAATTCTATCGCGTGCTCATAAAAAAAGTTACACGATAAGCGTAGGGAAGCTCAATCCTGCGAAACTTGCGAATTTTCTGGAGATTGAGTGTTTTGTTTTGGTTGCTTGTCCCGAAAATAGCATAATTGAGGCAAAGGTCAGCACGATGATTCACTTCGTGCTGATCACAGTACCTTGTTGACAATATGTCCGAGAACAGGAGTTTTTGCGGCCAATTGTCACACCCTACGAGCTTGAAATTGCGCTGCAAGCTGAGCAGAGCTGGACTGGTCAATATATACTTGACTTCAATACGCTCCTCGCTGAGAGTCGTAATGACGCAGACGGTGTGCTACGTCATAATATTGGGTTATCGCTTATTGACTCAACCAGCTGTAGACACGCTTTCCGAAGTGCAGGATGAGGGTCTAGACCAACCTATCTTTTCACTTGTTACTGGTCGATATCGGCAAGCAAAACGATATGGAGGTACTCTTTACCCTCTCACTCATTCACAATGGATGTACTAATGCGGTACCGAGGCTCAGATTCGGCCAATGGAGAGAATGACGCTCGGGCGTCTGCCTTGGTGCTCCGTAACCGAGAGAATGCAGTGGCCACATCATCTAATGGCGCAGCAGGTATGATCAGGCGACTATCAATTTTGCGAAGAACACGAATCTAACATTGTCATAAGCTCAATTCTTACAGTCACGGTCATTCAGAGGACTTGAAACGAGGATTGGACAGGATGCGCCCAGCGTACTGGAACAGGGGCGTAGTGGAATAGCAAGGGGGTATCAGGATGACCACAGGTCGTAGTCAAGCCAATCAGGTTGGTGCAGATTGTGACACTACGCGGGCGGCCTCCAGAAGAAGCTAAAATGATGTATTGTACTCGGTGAGACTTCTATTCCTTGCCGTTCATATCATATCGAACCCTCTTGAGATTTACGGTAACTAGGCTTTTTTATATAATCTAGCGGTGCAATGTGTCACAGGACAATATGTGCATCCGCAGTGCAGCGGTTGCATTCCGACAAGTTGTTATGAAATAGTCGCTGGAGAAAGCCCGTGATTGCGCCACACGTTTTTCTTGACGCAGGACTGTGTGGTAAATGCTCGACGGTCGAGCGTTCTCATCACATCTCTGCGTGATCGAAGGACCGGTAGGAATTCCAATCGATCTGAGGCTGGCTGGGTGGGCTGCCGCACAGTCGAAGTTGAGATCTGCTAGAAAAACAGTGGCAGTCGAGTATTGAGCTTCCTTGTCTCCAACATCCTGACACCCAGCACTGCTCGCGCCAACCGCAACGCATCGCCACTCGTTCAGCACCGAAGGCACCATGGCTCCTTTGCCCCAAACCGCATCAGTTGTTCACTCCGCCGCTGCCTTTGTGCATAGCGAAGTCGGAACTGCTAACCATGCCCTGGACATCCTGCTCATCATTCTTGGGATCGTCGTTTTGATTGCTTGGGGAACAGTTCTGACCATGTACCTGGTTTATCGCCGCCCGTCGTCGAGCGAAGCGCAAGAGACCGGCGACATTGCTCAGTCAAGTCTGACGTCGATAAATCCTGAGGCTCACGGTCAGCCGACAGAACTTGAGGATATCAAGCAGCTCCCTCTCGATACTGTTCGGTCATTGGGTGTCTCCTCTCGAGGCGCCTCAGTTTTCAAGAGACTTTTCTCGTTCCGGAAGGTGAGGCCACTTATGGATTCAATATGCGCCTTCGATGACAAACCTGCACAGAAGAACGTTGCCCAGAGGGTATCCACTGGATGCGCTCCCAAGGCCGTTAGCGACATAGAGTCTCAAGATGTGCTTGTCATACAAAGGCAAGATAATGTAGACTTACCCGCTCGCCAGATCCCTCCTCCCCCCAAGTGTCCGGCATCGACGCCTGAAGCCGACATGTCGGGCATCGAACAGGCGTCCGATGCCACCGACGCAGCTGACGATCTCCCCAGTGACACTACTGACGACCAGCTGTCCTCGTCTGGCTCTTTCCACACAAGTATCTCACTTTTCCTCGATGCGCTCAAGACGGGCGACCCGGACGTAATCGCTGCGGCAAGAGAGAAGTTCACCCCCACCGATCCGATCAATATGTGCGGCTGTGGCTGTGGTGGCAAACCCTCGGTACTCCCTCAGCTGACTAGAGAGGCTAACAGTCCCGTCTCCCACATCGACGAATTGTATCGCGCCTACTGGGCACCCACAATTGCTCAATGGGAAGCCGACATGGAACGAGCCGAGCGAGAGCTCATGCAGAAGCTCGCACCTATTTTCGCGGTGCCCAAAGTCGAGTCTGAGCTCTGCGACGAATACCTCGACGAATCGGCATCGATGTATTCGGCTGACAGCGTGGATGACTCTGGCTATCAATCCGAACCCTCGCAGACGCAAATTGCGTCCAACTACATCCTCTCGTTCTGTGACAAGCTGGGCGACCAGACCACGCCGGAGGCAGTTAGCTTCCCTATACCCGAGATCTCTATTGAAAGCTGCGACTCTGGCTCGTCTGTATCTGAAGCGTCCTGGATGCCTTTGGAGCGATCTCTACACGACTTGCGGAGTAGTTCTGTCGATCATCTGGAGGTCCCTGCTATGTCGTGGACGGCGCCCAATTCCACAGAGAAGTCGCGATTGAAACCGGCTCTACCTCTGATGGATATCTCGAACATATCCAACAAGACCTTTATACTCGGCGTCCCGCCCCGTCGAGGTCGGCGCAATACGGTGGTTTACGCTGCGCCCAAGGGAACCAGCTCTTGACCTCTACTTTCCTCAATCGCTCTTCGTTCTGCATCATGACTGCTTCTCGATCGATTCCCTTGCCATTCAATTCCTCGCTGCGATCATCTAATCTTCGATATCTGGCTCTTGGCATAACCACTCTCGCTGTCTGCACGTACATCGCTCACGAACGCTTGTGCATTCAATCTCTGAGCACAGTCTAGGCAATGCTTGACAATCACTCCTCTCCATCCAACTCGCATCCGGCAACGGCAGCCATCCACCTTAGCACTGCTCAGTCGACAATAATTCATCCCCAATACCCGGCGTAAATTCATCCCAGAAAATGCCCCCGTCGAGAACGCCATCAATCCACTCATGCGCGTCCATTAAGGTCCCCTTCACCGCGCACAATTTCCTCCGCCGCTGTTGCCGTTGCCGTCTGCACCCCGCCAATCGTCATGATATTGTCCAACCAATCGTCGCCCAGTAATAAACCCTTTCGGTCGCAAAGCAGTCATTCGCAGCCCGTTTCCTCCTATTCACCGAATTCCTCTTCTCACCCCTCTCCTCCCGCAACCGTCGCAGTATGGTAGCGAAAGGCTCCATAATCAGGCTGCAGCTGGTTATGGAGCTTTTCGCTACCATGCATACACGGTCCATCCTCCCCTTCTCTCACCGCATCTCTTCGTTCCACCCCTCTCGTCTCTGCCCAAGCTCTTCTGTTTTCCTTTGGGTCTCAAGGTCACAACAAGTCATACACGGTTCCGCTCTGGTCTTCAGCATTCAAGCTAGTATACACGTCACGCTTGAAAAGCTCTTACTTTCCTCGTTTTTGGGTTTTTGGGTCTTGCAAGTCGCAATTAATCGCACATCTCTCTTCTCTCCTCGCACTCGCAAATCTGCTCGAATGTATCTACAGAACATAGTATCTATTTTACCTATTATATCGCGCCCGTACGTGATGGCACGGAGGCCTCAGGCCTCAGGCTCCATGCTGCCTGAGTGCCTGCACATGCGCGCACAAAGAAAGATCGAAACGGCGGCGCCCAAAAACTAGGCGACGAACAAGCGGTACTCGCGCCTCGACTACATTACACTCCGTATACCGTACACACTCGCTCTAGCTAATGATACCCAGAGGCATACAGTCGACGAAATCTAGACCCAGAGCAGAGACAGCAACATGAACACCCTCACGCACATCCAGACTTTAGCACAACGGGCGCTCCCACTCCCGCCGGAGCATGTCGGCCCACGCCATCACAAAATACACAACGGCGGCCGGGAGCACGCACTTACTGCCGACCGCGGCCCAGTCCCAGCGGCGGCGGCGGAGGCGCATCCA